CACTCCAAGCTCATCTTAACCTGAAGGTTTGTGCTGAGAAGTCTTCCATGATTCTAATAGGCTTTTCTTGATTGGTGTGTTGTGTCATTTCTCTAACAGCTTTTAGTATTCTGTTTTTATGCTGTATGCCTGGGATCTTAATTGTCATATGTCTGGGTGTAGAGTTATGTTGGTTATGACTGTTGGGTATCCTGTATGTCTCACTTACTTGTATGTCAGATTTTTCCCCGTGTTTTGGAAATTTTCTGCTATTACTTCTCTGAACAGCTTAGTTATGTCCTTTGTATTGTCTCCTGCATCCTCACTGAGCCTCACTAAGCCTGTTAGTCTTACATTGTTTCTCTTAGTGTCATCTTGAAGCTGCTGGATTGTCATTTCATACTGCTTTGTTATTTTTATAAGTTCTATGTTTTTATGGTCACTATCTGTGATCTTGTCCTCAAGGTCTGAAATTCTATCCTCAGTTTCATTTAAATGGTTTTGCCAGCTTTCAATACAATTTTTTGTTTTTTGGATATCTCTTTGAATTTGTTTCATGGATTCTGCTTGTTTTCTACATTGTTCAAAGTTTCAGTCAATTTCCCGCGCTGCTATATTTTTTTACTCTATTTCTTCCCTAGCAATGTTGAGAAAATCCTTTTCTAAGGTTGTTATTTCTGTCTTTACATAAGACATTATTTATAATTTGATTTCCTCTATAGTCTCATGGATTTGTTTCTTTACTTCATTTGCTATCTTTTCAGAGATTTCTGGTGTATGACTTTTAAAGTCCTCCATTTCACTGTTGCCTGTATTTGCACCTGATGGACTATTGTTTGGATTGTATTTTGGTTTTTCATTTTGTCATTTTCACCTTTTGGGCCAAAATCTGGTTATTTAATCCCAGTAGTCACAACTGTTGGCAGTATATGTTCCAGGCTCCTACTGTGTGGTTGATGCCTGCCTGATTGTTGGGTACACAGTGACCAGAACCTGCCGGGGTCCTCTGTCTGGACAAGGGGCCACCAAGTCTCCCATCAAACCAGCATCACCACTCCACTGCAGTTCAAGGTTCTGGCGGGGAGAGTGGGAGCCAAACATTCACAGCAGTGCTTGGTCTAAGAGACGGAGAGGGTAGCCAAGGACAGCAGGTAGAGCCAGGGTGGGTGAAGCAGTCCTCTGGGTCAGCACATGGGAGGAGTGTGCTGAGTCACAGGCACAGCTCAGTGGCCTGAGCCAGGAAGGAGCACAATGGTCTTCCTCGGTGTGGTGGCAATGGGAGGGTGCTGACATGGGCAGGCCCAGCTCAGCTTCCTGATCAGGGGCAGAGCTTGGTGTTCTTTCTCCACTCCTGGGTGGTGGGGATGGGTGTGGGGTGCTGAGGGCACAGGCATGCCCAGCAGCACCAGCTCAGCAGCCTCCTCTGCTCAGCAGCTTCCTCCACGCGGTGGAGGGGCACTGAGGCCTCTGCTATCATACTATACTCCATGAGGTTAACAGGGGAATGGTTCATACCTTTAATTTTCCTCTTTGCTAAGAAAGGAACTGTGATTTTGATATGCCTGAGGCTATAGATCCAATATGTAATAGGACCAAAACTAAACCTCAGATTTTCTAATTTGTGGCTTAGTTCCCTTTTCAGTGGTATTCTATATAGAGTCACAGAGCTATTTTTTTTATATATTGTACACCAAATAAGCCACTTATTCTCAAGAGAAGTTAGCCAACTCACCAGTTTAATGTTTAATTTACCACATGGCTGAGAATGTGGGCCTAAGTGTCAGATTACCTGAATTTGCATCTCAGATACATCAAATTTTGGGCAGATTGGCTTCTTTGAATGTCAGGCACATAATGGAGATGTTATACTCTATCTTACAAAATTTTTTTCAAGATTACATGAGAATGTATTTGTAAGATTCATATCATGTGTGCTCTAAATATGTTAGTTATTATTATCTTTACAGTGATTTTTTAATGAGATGCTTTATGTACTAAGCATTCTATTAATATCACAATTTCATGTTGTTATCTATTCTTTCTCTGGTGATTTTTTCTTCTGTCATCTTGTTTGATCCAAGATGGTACTAGACATTTTGGAGATTATCTGATATTTAAATCATAAATCATGTTGTCATCTCTATACTTTGTTGGCCCATGTAGTTCAGCTTTATTAAAAATATTATTAAAAAACAAGAAAAAATCCAAAAACAATATTGCTTAAGCCAAGAGTTTCCCATAAAATATTAGCCTTGCTAACTTTTTCCTTACATTTTTGGCCAAAGGCCTAGATGCCTTGTGTTTCCAATATAATATTTAATTGCATTGAATATATGCTAGCAGTCCAGTCAAATGGGAGCAAAGAAGAGAAGCTCCTATTTCCAGATGAAAATGTATCATGGCTAATCACTGCCTTTCACTATCTTCTCTTCCCTGTTGGCTGAGGATGTAGGAGATGTAGCACACAAGTCAAATGTTTGGCACTTTGACACTGAAGGTCACTCAGGAGAAATGAAGTATCTTATAGAGTTGTATATGTCCAGGATCCTAAAATGGGTGGTTAGTGCAGTTCCAGGTGAATGTTACTGCTTGTTTTGAATGGGTGGTTATGAGAAACTGTCTCTTAGGTTATTGTAATCATTTCCATAGGGAAATAAAACTTGAGCCTAAAAAGTCAACATTTGAAGAGCCTTACTTGAGGCAGGAAATTTTGTTCTAAAAGAAAAAATCACATCTTTCCTGGGACTTTCCCTTTTTCTGGAGTGAAGTTGGGTGGGAAAATATAAGAAAAATGGTCAAGGGTCTTAATCTATCATTCATTTTTGTGCTTATGTGATAGAAGATAGAATTTCCCTAGAATTTCTTTTTTTCCACAGGAAAATAATCAGTTACACCCTTTTTCTGAGGCTCCTGGCTGTTTCTCCTTTCATATCTCTCCTTAGCTTGTGTTAGGTTCTGTTTAAAGTAAGATATTAGTTCTATTTGGCACGTACCTTTTCAAAGCTTCTAAAGTCGTAGGTAGGTCCTTGACCCAAAGTGATATAATAAAAGTTCTTTTATATCAGGTTAAAAAAATGCACTGAATAATGTAAATAATGTGCTTCATATTTTGGAATAACCTGAGAAATGGAATTTGTTGTAGGCCGGGAAACAAGAAGATCAAATCTCAGAGTTGTGGTCTTGGTTACTGTTCTTATTGCTAGCATAAAGTACCTGACACCTACAAGTTAAAACGAAGAAAGACTTATTTCGGCTTAAAGTTTTAAAAGAGACTCACTTCATAGTTGACTGGCTCCAAGGCAGAGTGGCACATGGCAGACAGCCACTACCAAGGAGAAACAGTTCGTGGTGTGGCAGGCAGAAGGTACTAACGGCGAGCCCACAAACACCAAGTCTCCCTCCCCTGCCCCTGTGTATTTCACAAAGGCTGTAAACCTACCGATTGGTGCCACCCACATCCAGCTCCAGCGTGGAGCTTCTGTCATCCACATCAAGGAGTATGTTAAACCAATCAGCAGCGCAATCTGCATACCCTTAACCACACCAGTAATTCACATTCACACACCCTAGATCCAACCATCTCCACAAGCCCCACATATGTGCACATGAGGCTTTGGAAGAACATGTAGATGTAAGGCATAACATATGGACTCGCACAAACAGACAGTGTGCAAGATGAAAAAGAAGTAAGCATACTTAGGAATGGGGCAGAAGAAAACGGAGCAACTGAGAGAGAAATGTGGATCTGGAAGAGTGGACTATTTCCACATAGATCCCTATTCTGACTTGGTTCTTACCTTTTACTCTGATTCTTCTACATTCTAGTGCTCATACAGCTCCTTTGACTTACTGCATTGCACAAGTGGGCACTGGCAATCGCAGTGTAAATGACTAGCGATGACTTGCTATTACTCACAGAAAAGTTTAAATCCGTGTACTAGACATGTAAAATAAACACATCCTCCTCTGTAATCAGCGATGACACCGGCAGAAAAAAATGTGAAAACAGATAAAATAATCATCCCTGAGTGTCCCTTCCTTTCCAATTGTGCAACACCAACCACAGCAAACTCTCCCCCATATAGGTCACATTAGCATATTATGAATGATGGGAAATATGAACTCTGAGTCAGCAGAAAATATGCAAATGAGTCAACAGTTAGTTCAGATGTGGAGAAAAGAAACACTTCAGATCTTTGGGAAAATTTTTATCTCTCCATGACTGACCGCTGATGAAATGATAAATCAGAAGAAAACAGTGCTTTGAGTTCCTATCGATATATCTTCAGCTAAGATTAAATTCATTAAATGAGATTCTCTTTATTCAGAACTAAGGCAATTTAGCAATTCAGTAAAAAGCAATGTCAACAAAGTAGGAAGCAGTGTTTCATGGCTGCGTGTTATGGACAATAAAGAGAAACAAATGTCATGACTGAGATAGATCAGTGATTTCCAAACTTGGCTGATCACAAAGCTCACCTGAAATCACTTTCTAGGAATCCATCTAGAAGCTCTTGCCTTGGAATGTTTAATCCAGGTAAATCCTTTTTCTGCTTGAGAAAACTGGATGTAAATACTATGCAGTTAGTTACTCAAGGGAAAATTAAATATAAGTTACAGGACAAATGTCTTAGGCTATTGTTTCCTATACTAAAGGCTAAGACTAGAAGATTGCATTTAAAGTTGGATATTGTGTCAACAAGGAATTATCACAGTTCTATAAACCACACAAATCCAAAAAATGTGGTACAAAAGAAGCAGTAAGAGATCTATTGGAAGACAAGCATAGAGTCAATCTATGTAATTACAAATATAAAAATTATTAATGTAGCTGTTCCATTTAATGAATCATTTCTAGAGTCTATCCATAACAATAACAGAACACATGACTTACATATGTTAAGCGAAATTACTAAAATAGGTCCAGGTATTGTCTTGTAAGTGGTGTTGATTTAATTTATTGATTAGCCATGGTTGATACCCAATACATCTATAAGTGAAAGAAAAATCACTCTTCTTCATTGAGTTAACAAAAGGAGTAATTTATTATGTAATGCAAAGCAATAAGTTTTCATATATATTAGAAAATAAACATATCTTATATGTCATAGAGAATAAATAGGAAAATAAATACAATACAGAAAAGCAAAGAGAATATCCACAGTTGTAACTATATGGTGTATCAATGGATCAGTCAACTGTATTTATTAGGGCCTACCTGTGGGCTAGGAGCTTGTACTCAGTGCCACAGGCATAAAAGCAAATAAGATTTGGTCCTGGATCTCAAGTACAAGCAACTTAGAAGAGAGTCTTCTAATGCTAATCCGATGATGAAGAATAATACAAAAGTAGAGGGTGCACAACTGTTTAACAGAAGTATCTTTTCTGTCTCAATGACAATAATAACACTGTTACTGTGACATAAAGCGTTATGCACTTAATACTTTTCACACATACTAAGAAATTAAAATTTCTAAAATTGACCTGCCTACAGGAATTAAATGTAAAATTTGGTAGAGAAAGTCTTTTATAGATATGGACATATATAGTATGAAGTTATTTTAAGACAAGTCATTTCAATAGTCGATGGATAATCCATATAGGGGAATAAATGATTATTTGATTAAAGGTATAATCCCTGACTTAGTCAATTTAGTTTTGGAAAAAATTTATAAGTTGATAAATAAACTTATAAGTTGAATAATTTTTATTCAATTTAAACAAAATTTTTGAGAGGTCTGATAGCTCAGGGGAACTATGATTTTTGGTTCAATGTAGTTAGATAAATCACTACTGACACTGGCTATATAAGAGTACAACTTAGAAATATCATATGAGAGTATTTGTATGAGTAAAAAATATATTTCTCTAAAAGAGTGAGACGTTATTTGGTAAAAAGCGTCATGTATACTCATTCACGTTAGTAGTACTTCTATCAGTTAAAATTTCAGAAAATATCTTCAAGATTGAATCTATGGGTACAGTTCTATTCCTTTTTGGTTTCAAGACACAATAATATGTTTTATGGTGAAATTTTTTATATGCAATAAAGGTCAGTAATTTGCATATGAAATAATTTATTTATGCAACATGATCATTTTTGTACAGCCTTGTGGAGCTTATTTTTTATAACATCAGTGTTTTATACTCAGGTGAAGGCATACTGACATATCCTGGTACACAAGTATAAATTTGCAGAACGAATAGACAATAAAAAACTAGACACAAGAACTATGGACTAGAAAAATAATCTCTCTTTTCCCATCAATGGTCAGTCTTCAAAATCTTACAATGTACATAAAGATCTTCATATGAAAATCAATAAGATTAATATTGATGGGCAGAGAATTATAGTGGCTATGGTTGTAGCATGACAGTAAAGGTAATCTTTGATAATTTTAAATTTATTAATTCACATTTAAAAAAATACAACAGTAATATCTTACCAATTTTATGTAAGTCTTACATACATATTAATATGAGAACAGGAAAAAAATGGAGGTAAACACTTCTACCTACAAATAGACACTATATATGTATCAAAGTGTGAGATAATTCCACCTTTATGTAGAGCTATTTGAGAAGTATCTAGTACCTTAAAGGAATGTTAAACTACCATGAATAGTCTAGAGTTAAGTAAGGCCATTTGTCTATATTTTTTGAGTCTAATAATGTGACATTTTAGAGTTTACAATCATAACTACAAGTTAATGAGGAATAAACTATGGGAGGGTTAACTGGCCTACCAATGAAGAGTCAAAACTAGGCACTCTTTCAAAATTATTTCATTCGGGAAAGGGCACATGATGCCTGATAGTTTATGAACTCTTCAGAGAAAAATAGAAGCACGTATAATTTTTAAAGTATTCAATGACATTCTTAGTTAAGGCATTATAGAATTCATAAATATGAAAACATCTTTTATTCTATTCTATTATTTTATTTAGGTGTTTTGGTTTTTTGAGATTAGTTCTAGCCGTGTTGTTCAGAACTCACTACATAGCCCAGGCTGGCCTTGAACGTGAGGCAATCCTCCTGCCTCAACCTCCCGAGTGCTGGGATTACTGGCATGCACTACCATGCCTGGCTACACGTGATAATGACTTCGTGGTGACAGGAAACAATTTAGAGGACAGAAAAGGAGACCACTAAGAAAGTCATTACTATATTAACAAATACAGAGACTATTCTTATAAAGCAGAAAGTGAATTTAAGTGTTTCATTAAAAAAATCTTGTTCTTTTATTCTCTTCCGGTGACATTTGGAGACTTTTATAATGAAAATTTATTCTTACAAATAAGAGTGTTATAATACTGACTATTCATTGCAACTTCTACACTTGAGAAGTATTTACTAGTCTTAAAGTTATGAAAACATAAGCTGCTGACAGTAGCATACATGTTTTAATACAACTTGCTATTCTTAAAGTATCTTGATCATTAGAAAAACAACAGTAATGAACATAATGAGCTTGGAAATCAGATAAACAAAATAGGAAAAAGAAATGTTAACTTGTACAAAAATTTTCAAAAGTTTAAGATGCCACTCTATGAAGGTCTGATGGTGATCCATTAAGCAGATTACCACTGGATTATTAAAAAATACACATATCAATTTGAGACATTTCTTCACATGTCTGCACGAACAAAAGAAGCAAATATTCCATCTTCGCGGGCCAACAAACTTTCTGGAGTATCGTATTCTAAAATATTTCCTCGCTTCATCACAATAACCAGGTCTGCAGTCAGAATGGTATGAACACGATGCTGTGAATGGAAAGAATATGTGATTTGTTATAAACTTCAGGGCACAGTTCAAGAAAAATGGTATACGCATGCTTTTTACAGATTATTCAAAGATACTGGTTTATCTTGGCACACCAGGGGATGCAGAAAACACAGCCTTTCCTTTTTTTCTTATTTAGAGAACCATTTATTTATATATTTTAAAATACTGGCCAATTTGGCTGGATTTTACTTGGACTGCATTAACTTTAATGTAGTTAATACATTAGTGCCATTGTTTTTCTGGAACCTGAAAGCTAGTAAATGTTCATCAAACAATTCTATGCTGAAGAATCACGGCAGGTCAGCTGTGTTGTATTTTATAATTGTCTCTTTTGCAAGGCAACTGATGCGATGGATTAGTACACAATTAGAGAATCTCAGCAAAGAAATGACTTCTAAGAAGACAATACGGGTAAGCCCATTCTGACATGCAACATTATAATGAGTTACCTAACACTAGAGATATGCAGTCTCCCAATTTTGGGGGTCACTATCTTTTACTCATTCTCTTCCCACAAAAGCCTTGGGAGGGAGGATTGAGTGCTAGTAATTAATAAACACTACCTCTTATTGAGCACAGGTCATACATTAATTATTCCATACACATAGCTGTAAATCATCCAAGCATTCCTCAGCTATGAGTATTCTCTCATTTTATAGGGCAGAATGTAGGACCTCACAGAGATTCAGGAAAATGAACAGATAACAAGTAGCAGAATCGGAATCAAAAGCAGGTTCACTGACTTCTGAGTGTGAGGTATTTGTACTTCGCAGTCCAGCTGTTGCACAAGAAGTGCCTAGCACCACAGAGGAAGGTCAGCCTGTGTGGTAGTGAACACAGCACGCCGTGAAGTTAGACTGGACTCACCTTGGTATCACTCCCTGTTCTTTGTGCAGTTTTTACCCAACCTACCAACTTCTGCATGCCTTCAGCTTCGCATCTGTAAAATGATAGCAGTAACACTACCCATCTTGGAGAATGATGGTAAGCATCAGATGAGATAGCCCGTGTAAAAAAGTTAGCGCCTTGTCTGGTATATACAACCAAACAATAAATGTCAGCTACTACTATTTATTATTTTTATAATTTAGAAGGTCAAAATCAGTGTGGTGAGCTGTCACACTGGCTGAGGTTAGCACTGTCCAATAAAAATATAATGTAATCCACATGCAGTTTTAACTTCCTGAGAATCTATGTTTTAAAAGTAGAAATAATCAGGTGAAATCTATTTTAATAACATATGTTAACTCAGTCTATCCAGAAAGTTATCATTTTGATGTGTAACCAATATAAAATTATGCATGAGCTCTTTTACAGTTTTTCATCAGGGCTACATCTTTGAAATATAACCTGTATTTTATACTTATAGCAATTCTCAAATCATACTACCTATATTTCAAGTGCTCCATAGCCACCTGTAGCTAGGGGCTATCCTGCTGGACCTGAATAGAGTACTGATGGAAATTCCTGCCACAGTACCAAACCTAGAAAGATCATCTACTTAGTTCACGTACACTCTTCCAACATGCCTTTCTCCTAACAACCCGAAGTCCAATTGAAGGTCTTCTTCAGGGACAAAGGTCTATATCCCACCCTGGACCACATAGATGGAATAGTCTCAATGTTTATGCTTTCAGAAAAGCAAGAGTAGTTGTCACTTATAATTACAGGGGGATAAAAATACATATACACAATGATATAATAAGGATGTCATTTTAGGATATGTCCAATGTTATGGCTTGCATCTAGATGCCTTACCCCCAAACTTCATGCAATCATGGCGTGGAGCTTTTCAGAGGTGGCTGGATCTAAAGTAGGTGGTGCTGGGTGTGTGATCACTAAATCAGTCCACCAGTTGGTTTGGCACAGTTCAGTTCTAGCTGGCATAAAGGTGTGAGCGCTATACCCACCCTAGGGCTAGTAGTCAGCATAAATTATAAGGGACAGAAAGAAAGCAAAGGTGCTCTCTCCTGCCTGCTCTCTGTAGACTGTTTCTCCTCTGCAATGCCCCTCTGTCATGTCAACCTGCCTGAGAGCCTCCTGACTATGAACTGAAACCTCTACAAACTGTGAGACAAATGAACCTTTCCATCTCTAACTTCGAGTGTCAGGATATTGTCTCAACAACACGAAAAAGTAGCTTAAGTATCCCACATCATCCATAGACAAGCCTATTCATCACTAAATAATACACACTTAGGAATTGTCAAAACAGAGGACAGTGCCTATTTATCTTTGGACCACAGCCATTTGGACACCTATGCAATCAAGAAAAAAGATAAACATAAGTTTAATTAACTGATATCTGCTGCGCATTTTACTCCAGAAAAATATTAGTAGTTCTTCTAAATCCACATCAAAGATGTTGGAAAAAGAATTTGGCCTTGAAATTCATAAATGAATTCTCCTAAACATTGTTTTGATATAATAAAATAATGTTTACTAAAGAATATTAAGAACATTCAAAAATCTTGGCCAGCAGAAATAAATATAACTGGTGTTTATTCCATTAAATCCAAATTATCTCTTGTTAACCAAGTGTGGTATCAGTACGAAGAGTGTTGATGAAATTTTCAAAATGCTCCAGAGAAATTAATCTAATCAAGGGTAAAGACTAAATCATTTTCATAAATAAAAACCATGAACTATTTGGGGATGTTTGGGCTTCTTTTTAGAAGCTGGAAAAATTATCTATTTTTAAGATATTATATAATTTTTAGTGGCAGTTAACCAAAGTAACAGAATATCTTTTAGTCAGAGAAGGAAAATAACCATTAACAGAGCTGAGGACCATTTGGCCTCAGACTGCATGAAGTGTGCTGTTCTCGCTCTCTCTCTCTCTCTCTCTCTCTCTCTCTCTCTGTCTGTCTCTTTCTCTCTCTCTCTCTCTCTCTCTCGAATTCAAGACATCCTGATGGCCACCCTATATTCTGGTCTTGAAAAGCAGATGGAAGATACCTATCTATAGAAATGTATTCAGTGGATATAGAACAGAAATTAAGTAAAGGAATACATCTACTTTTTTAGTTAAAAATATAAATTGTGCTCAAATAATCTGCTAGATATTTACTCACTGGACCCACATAATAACATCATGCTTCATGCAGGGTAAAGAAAAAGCAGTCTCTTAAGTAAGAAAGATCTACGTCACCTCCAACCCTATGCGTGTAGGGGTGCTGGAAGTTCTTTTATTCCCAGAGTATCTCCCTATCTTTTCCAGTGAGAAAAAATTTTTTCAAGGTCTTTCTGTATAATTCATGCTGGCCTTGAACTCATTATGTAGTCAAGGTTAGCCTCAAACCCACGGTGATTCTCCTGCCTCAGTTTCCTGAGTGCTGGGATTACAGGGGTGCACCACCAGCCCAGTGTGAAAATTCTTGAAAGTATTTGAGACCTATTTTTCAAGGTAGCCAATTGTCACACCTCTTACATGAATGGAGTTATCAGGTGACTCTTCTCCAGGGAAAAGAAATGCTAGAGTTTACTGGGAAAGGGAGAGAAAGTGGGTTTTTCTTTACTCGAGCTGGACAGAGAATCATTTCTTACAGCCATGAAAAAGCTACACTTCAAAGGGCAGTCTTTCTCCCATGCATCGTTCACAAAAATGGAAGATAGCAAGCATTCTGTATGCAAATTCCATTGCTACACAGTTAAGTTTAAGTGACTATTTAAATTGAAAAATGCATGCTTCAGAGCAGGTGAGGAACATACAATATTTTTAAGGGGCTACAAAAGCTCAAGGAACCGTGAAATTGGGCGTCAGGATGGAGGTGAATCTGGGTCTCGGGTTTCATAAACGCTTGCTTGCATGCGTAATGTGCGAAAATGTGCATGCACCTTATTCAGTAATACACATCACAGAGACACCTGCTCAAGCTGAGTAGTATAATAACACACTGCACTCAGTTCCCTCCATCAGCCCTCCTCAGTCACAGCACCAGCCTGGCCTCACCCAGGGGATGCCACTCAGATAACTACCAGAGAACGGATACTCGGCAGAGTAGGTCATGATGGTCTACTTGTGAGTCATCACCAAGGTAGAAAACAGCCCATTCCTGTAGGTGAGCAAGTTTGGACCAGTATCACACTCCACTAAAATACCCTCAGAAAAGACTAAAACAAGATCTGCATCTGTAATCGAGGAGACACGGTGCTAGAGAGAGAGAAACGGAAAGAAGAGAAAGATCAGTAGGAGGAAAAATGCCCAAGGCATTCATTAAAAAATGGTTTTTGTGAAGCAGTAAGACTAACGGTAAGCAGAACCCACCCATCTTCAAAGCAGAAAAGACAGAATATCATGGCCTATTTTAAATCAGACATAAAACGAATCAGAGGAACTAAATTTTCCTACTTGGTACTACCTAAAATAAAGAAATTATCTCCCCCTGCTATAAGATATCTCATGTTTTAATTTTTTTCTTTTTTTCTTTTTAAAAACAGATAAATGAACAAAAATTAAGTATCAATATTAGCCAAACTGGCAATGACATTGAAGAATTATGCTTCTCAAATTCTTCATCAGACCATCAGACTATGGAGAAGAAAATTAGCACAGACCTCCTAGAATCCTTCGATTTAGGAGGGTCTTTCATTTCAATTTAGGGGCACCAGGTAGAGCAGACAGTTTGAGAAAGGACATAGTTTTTGAAGTATCACTATATTTCTTTCATTCTTTTGTTTACAGATGCAGAAAGATTATCACAGGAAAACACAGTTCAATATCAGTACATTTCAACTGCTCAAATTGAAAGATCACAGAATCTTAGAACAAAAACTCAGGAGGCACCAATCAACCCCACTTCCCATACTCACAGCTATGGTAACAACCGTGCGGTCTGCAAAGGCGGTCATTACTACTTTCTGCAAAATATTTTCCTGCCAAAAAATAAAAATAAAGTGTACATTTTCTTGGAACTAGTTTGTCTTACCACAGTATCTTGTCTCCAAGAACACTGTCCCGCCATGCCCTCCCCTTTATGAGCACTGTCACAATGGTCTGCAGGGCCAGGAAACAGGGCCCAGGCAGTTCCTAGCAGATTTGGGAAGTGTCTTCAACATGTAGATAAAATTCAGTGATCAAACTGGTGTGACTCATGGATTTGTGGACAGGGAATCCAAAGAAGAAAATCCAACCACACAAACATCAAAACATTCCTATAAGTCACACTATAGCAGCACGTATGCAAAAACGAATCAAACCTTCAAATGCTATTGACCTTTGATTCAGAAAAAGGAAGGATTAAATCCATCCCTTCCCCTAAATGTACAGTTTTGACCTACAAAATATTCTAGACAGGAATTATTTTTATTCCCACCATAAACTGTCATCATATTTTGAAAGACATTCTGGATACATTTCTACCTCTTTGCTAGAGGGAAATTTGATTACTATAGTTTTAATGCAGAGTTCTTTCTTCCAACCAAGTGGCTTACTGCTGCTTAATTCATATTTTTTCCCTTTCCCCCTCTCTCTCCTCTCTGGTGAAGCAGTCACATCCTTATAATCACCCCTGATGTTGGACAACTTCAGTAATTTTGATGTTCTTACACTTACTGAAAAGACTTGATGACATGCTACTTTACTGCTTTCAATTACATTCATTATGAGGTCATTAATTTTGAATAGGTACTTTGATCAATCTTACTTAATAGAAAAATTACATGAAATTAACATCTCTACATGTAACTGGCTTTTTGTCTGTGTGTGCTACTGGGGATTGAACCTGGGACTTTCACAGTGAACTACACCCCCGTCCTTTATTTATCTTTTCTAGTCCCTATGTTACTAGTGACCCAGGCTGGGCTTGAACTTCTGATCTTCCTGTTTTAGCCACCCAGAGTTCTGGGATTGTAGGTGTGTGCCAGCATGCCTGCTTTACAACTGACTTTTAACAGCCTTGAAACTGTTTCAGTTCTTTGGGTAGTTTTACCCTATCGAAAGTATATAGCATGAAAACAACATGAAAAGTTTTTTAAAAACTTTTTTTCATATTTTCTGATAACAAATTCTCTCTCTCTTTCTCTTTCTTTCTCCTTCCATTCTCCCTCCCTCTTTCTCTTTGTCTTTTTGAGACAGGGTTTCACTATGTAGTTCAAGTTAGTCTTGAACTCACTTTGTAGCCCAACATGGCCTTGAACTCACAGTGATCCTTCTGCTTCAGCCTACCAAGTGCTGGATTACAGGCGTGCACTAGGACAATCAGTCTCACACTTTTAATAAGTTAATTAACAAAAAAATCAATGCTAGCTCATACATAATTTATGGTTTAATATATTGTCCCCAACCAATCCTAGTCTTCCAGATGAATCTCTCTTGTTGACTCTTAAATAATTCCTTTCAAAAAGCAAAGTTTCTGGCTTTTTTTATACCATGAACACATGCAGTAGGCCATTGTCAACTATAGCTGTCATTATTCCTAGCAAATTCCTTTTCAAAGTGCTTTAGAATGGCCGGGCATGGTGGCTCATGCCTATAATCCTAGCACTCGGGAGGCTGAGGCAGGAAGATCGCTGCAAGTTTGAGACCAGCCTGGGCTACAAAGTGAACTAAAGGCCAGCCTCAACTGCATAGTGAGACCCTGTCTCAAAAAGACAAAAAAAAAGTGCTTTAGAAAATGATTGGTCTTGCTATCAATAGTTTATTAAAGATTAGATCTTTGAGAATGTCTATGGAATGGCCATTGAATACAGTACAGTACTTTCACTAACTGTCTTGAATCTAACAAAATTTTGTACTCTTTGATTAACAACTTGCACTTCTTCATCTCTTCTTCTTCCCCAGACTTTGGTAAAAACATTTCTACAAACAAATGAAATCATACTGGTTTATTTTATTAACAGAATAATCTCAAGTTCTATTCATGTTGTCACCACTGACAGAATTTCCTTCTTTGGAAAGACTGTAGAGCCCCCCCACACACACACTATCTTTATAGATTGCATTTTTAATCCAGCCATCCATAGATGGAATTTTAAATTGTGTTTGTGTTTAGCTATTGTGAATAAGACTAAAGCATGCTAATGAAGATGTCTCTTCAACATATGGAGATCATTTCTGTTGGATATATGCCCAACAGTGGAGTGGTAGGATTGATCATGTGTGATAGATCTATTTTTAGGATTATAAGGAATCTCTTTACTTTTTCCAAAATAGCTTGCATTCCCAACAATGCATACGAATTCTACTTTCTTCACATCCTCACTAACAATTGCTATCTCTTATCTTTTTGATAATAGCAATAAGCTATAGCAATCTATTAAATTTAGATGGTAACTACAGTCAATAATACATATATGAATATATATATATATATATATATATATATATATATATACATATATACTCCAAAGTTGCTGACACAGGTTTTCAACATTCTCAGCATAAAAACTGATAAACTTCTGATGACATGGATATGCTAATAAGCTTGACAGAATTTTTCTGTAATACATACAGGGATCAATATACATATAGCATTATTGCATCCATTAAAAAATCAATCAATAAGTATCAAAACAAAATGAATAGGGCACCTGACTAAAAGATATCTAAAGAGTATTTGTCCTTTCCATACAATATTTATGCAAGTCTAAAATCATGCTACAATAAAAATGTTGAGAAAGGGGAAAGTTGAAGCAGAATTTATTTTATATTTATTGGTAATAGAAACTTCTTTAATGCATGCCTGGTGTGTTATTTATTGTGTTTCTTAGTGTGATCATTGGCTGGTCCAGGAGATGATTGAGAAATCATTTAAAACAACAGGCTGGAGGACTCAGAACCCATCCCAGAACAACAGCCACTGTCACTTCCACACACATTTTGAGATCTGCACTCACCGTGGCCATGTCAATGGAAGCTGTGGCTTCGTCCATGATGAGAATACTGCTTTTGCGGACAAAGGCCCTGGCCAGGCAAAAGAGCTGTCTCTGTCCAACACTAAAATTCTCCCCACCTTCTGTGACCACTGCATCTAAATCAGAAGAAGAAGCAAAGGTTTCACTAATGAAGGGGGATTAACACTCTCCTTGGACAAAGTCATGACAAATACAACAGAGCAGTGTGTTGGAGATCTTTTTATAATAGAGCAAAGATTTCCTATAGACAGACATGGCGGAACCATTCTCTGGGAAAATGAACATGAGGCTCAATGAATTACCTCCTGACAACAGGATATAAAATACTGTTACACATTTCAAAGGCTGGAAGACCTTGGGAATTTTAAAATTACTTATTGTAGTTCCCCACGTGGTTTGTGCAAGGTCACACTTAGCAAGCAGGCAGAACTCGATAAGAAATATTCTCAGTTCCAATTCTGGTTCTCTTTCCATTATACTGTCCTACTAGACTGTAGGCGCCAAGGGGAGAAGGACAGGGTTTGCTTTTGTTTATCTATGTGTTTCTAATACTATAATATCTCACATGAACACTAAATGCAAAGTTAGGATATAGATAAATGAATGATATATCCTCATTATGCTTTTTATTTTTTGTTGTGTCCATCAACATTAAATAAACTCCTACTGTGAATTTCAGATGAATTCTACTTCCAAATATTTATTTTATTAGAATTCAAAAGCTTTTCTAGTTAAATTCTGGGGGGAGGGTGGATTTCTATTAACCAGGCTCTCACTGCATCAAATTTTTATAACTTATCATGCTTGGAAGTGATGCATTTATTTTCCTAATTTTAATTCACATGTTAACTAAGGAGGATGCTGAATATTCTTTACCGTATTTGGCCTGAACCAGATCTTTCTTGAGAAAATTGGCATCCCCTTTAGTAAGATGGTGACACGGTGAGTTTGGTGAGTTACAGAGTGTAAAGGAAATCCCTTGTTTAAATTACTTAAACCACATACATCATAACCACAAAACTCGACGCCTACAGTTCAGAACAGTCTCACATATCCCCCTTTTAAGGAAAAGGACCGTAATTTTGCTTATCTTTCCAGCTGTTAATGGTAGTGGTGGGGGCGGGTCTCTAAATGCCAAGAGAAAAGTTCTATATGCATGAATCAATGTCTCAAGCAGACTTACTGAGCCCTCCACAGGAAATAACAAAAATTACTATGGGAAAGTTCACCCAGAGTTCTGGAATCACTCCCACAACTGACACTAGCAAGGTCAATAAAACTTCCCTTAAAGACATACTGTCTTAATTTTTACTTGTGGTTTGCTTCTACTTGGGGCATAATTAAAATCATAAAAGCTCTTGTTTATGAGTAGGCCTTGCTTTCCAAATAAACTAACAAATACACATGGTTTCATTTTGTATGTTGACATTTTAAAAAAATGAGATGCCAAAACAACACTATCAATTTGGTGACTACATACTATGTATTAATATTAGAATTTAAGAAAGCTGTTGGTATTCCTACTGCTTTCTTAAGTGGGTTCAGATTTTAAGGAAGCAGCAATCAAAAACTTTAGATGTTTATTTTTATGAATTAAGGAAGATGTGAACTCTTGTTTTACTAACATTTTATTCTTTCATTTCATCATTTGTTGGACAGAAATTGGACTGCATTTTTCAGTAGTGGTTTAAATACAGGCTTCACTCTTTACACAGCTGACCAAAACTGATCCCACAACAGGAGAGTAATACAACATAATGTCTTCAAACAAGATGAAAATTATACTATGTAAATAAAAGAAAAAAGGGGCTACCAACGTGGAAGAAATGACCTCCTCCTAAATAACACTGGGACGTGGAAATCTAACAGCCTCTAAAATACAATAACCACTTTCTGAGGCTAAGTGATCCTGTAGGTGACTTGAATAGGAAAGAAGCAAGTGTTTGCACTGACCTGTACAATGGAGAGAAGAATAAAGAGAAACATCCATTGAATGGAATATTTTGGAGTGATCATATGTAGCAGAATTTGCCATTAGGCTCATCATCTTGTGTACCAGAGAAAAATCACAAGATTTTACAATGTCCTTTAGTAGACTAAGCACAAAAGATCTAGTATTAGACTGAGGAAAGCTCAGTAGTAGAGTATGTTCATAATATGCACAGGCCTTGGCTTTAATCCAAGAATAAACAAACGTCAAAAAGTATTTTAAACACTAGAACTATATGATTCTAACATAAAGCATGTATATGTATAGATAGAGATATAGAACTAATTGCATGTGTGCAAAATAAATGTGTTACTTAGAATTGATACCTAGACCCCCAGGCAGCGATTTGACCATATTCTTCAGCTGGGCAATTTCTAGAGCCTCCCAGAGCCTGTCATCTGTGCATTTGCACTCTGGATCTAAATTAAATCTGTAGGGAAAAAAAGCAGTTAATTAGTAAGTTAGAATAATGTAATAGACGAAATAAAAACAGAAAGCTTTTACATATATCTGCGTATTGCTCTTCCTTCCTTAAAATGTTAAGGTCTTTTCATTTTGGTTACTGCTTTGTATTCAGCATCTAGAATAGAGCAAGCACTGAATTCATGCTGGATGAGGGAATCAATGACCTTAATGTTATCCAAAAGCCTTTCTAATAATATCACTAGGTAAATATATATATATGGTATAATATCAGTTTTGTTACCTGGATCCCTCCACTCCATACCATGATCAGCATAACCTGAATAGTTTCCAGCAAAATATTCCAGCAGAATTGATACTAAGTGCATAAATCAATATGGAAACATATAATATTATTTTAAGATAAACTGTGCTGCATCAACCACAACAGTAACAGTCATAATAAATATCTTGGCTGATACAAATTGACTATAAGATTGCTAAACAACTTGATCCATCCAGAGCTTGTAACTAAAATAATTTTACAGGTAATGTTGAGCAATCTTACATACATTTTCTCAAGATAAGGAGTAATTATTAAATGGAGATGGCAAACAGTTCTGTGTAATTACAAGGATGGAGGAGGGGGGCAAAAAAGAAAAGGTGGGTGAAATAAGAGACATGATTTGGTGGAGGAGTAAGGTAGACTTTGGAATCAGGCAACGAGTTGGAATTCTGGTGCCACCACTTCATAGGTGCGTGAACTTGGGCAAGTTACAACTTTTTGGAAAAATATTCATTTATGAAATACTCATCTGCAAAATGGAAATAACAATAGTATGTATCCCAAAATGATGTTTCGAGAATTCAGTCAGACAATATATTTAAGCACCAGCAAATAACAGATGGCTCCATTTTCTTTTTTGTGGATAATTAGGATCGAAGCATAGAGATTGTAGACCATTTGACAAAGCAAATTGGGATGAAGCAAAATTTTAAGGACTATGGAGACAGGGAAGGAAACCAAACTCAGAATATATACTGAGTCCAGATCAGATGCGAGAGTTAGGCAGGATATTTATAGGTGGAATCTCTCAGAAATATCTATCTAGAACCATCACTCCCAAGTACACAGGACAAAATGGATTTTAATTTGCCAAACTAAAAAAGAAGAGCTATTGGAAATATAAGAGATGGGCTTCTGTAGGCTAACTTAGCATCTCTACAATTTCTAGTTTAAATCACTGGACAGCATACTAACTTTTATCCTGTCAATGCTGTTATGTTAGACCTACCTGACAAACAATTTTCAGAGCAAAATATTCCTATGAGCCAAAGGACAATCCTGGGAGACACAGGTATGCTGAATATGCCACCTACCTAATAGAACCACTGAACAGTATTGGATCCTGTAGAATGATTGACAGTCTAGAACGGAGAGTGTGCAGGGGTAGTTTAGAAATGTCTATTCCATCAATGACAATCTTTCCTGTTAAGGAAAAACAAAACTTATAGACTCAGAATAAACTCACAAGTAAAATTCTAATGTGTTTCCTATTAAAAAAGTTTTCCCTGAATCCCTGAGTTTGATCTCCAGCACCATGAGACAAAACAAAACACACACATACACACACACATACATATACACACACAACTTTTTATACTTATGATTTGAAATAGAAAATGTATAGATTTCCATTTAAATATTTAAAATACATATTTTTGCTAGTAATTCTGTATTTCTCATAAAGAAAATTTCAGTTCATTCGCTGTGCAGACATACAAATAAAAGATACTTTTATCTCTTTTGAGTTACTCTCTTGTTATTCCTTTATCCTCTTTCCTTGCTTTCTTTTTTTTCCCATGGGGTTTATCAGAATTTTCTTTACATATTTTGTTATGTTTTTCATGTCCCTCCTCTAGTAGAAGATAAGCATCTTGAAGATGAATCTTTTTATGTCACTCACTTCTGTACTGATTGAATAATACAACGCATTAAACATAGAAAGGCAAATTCTGTGATACAGACCTCAAATTTTACTGAATTTCTCCCCTACTGTATGTAGACTTAGAGAATAACACAATTTTGATGTTTATTCCTCAACTCAATAAATTAGTTCCATCATCTCATTTCCGTAAGAGATAATTTTACCCTGCCAAAATGCACTCAATAGCAGCTGCAGCTCATTTACTAGGTAGATTTACAGTTAAGAGCAGGCAAGGGTGATTATCCTCAACTATGTCCTTCAGGGGTAATGTATTATCTATTAAAATATTAATAGCCTAATGCTACTAAGAAGAAAACAATCTGTGGTAGTTGACATTGGGCCTGAAATTTTATTTCTAGATACACAGGAGTAGGTAACCTTTTATGGTGAATCACCAGCACAGTTCTTGATGAAAAGCACCAGTCAACTATCACTGGATCAAATAACTGCCTCATGACACAAATCTCACTGCAAGTCATTAAAATACCGTGTATTATAATGAGCCAGAGAAAGAGCAAACTGCTGAGCCAAAGATGAATGCTTATCTTCTTTTTGAATTTCAACCTTTCCCCAGATTCCAGTTACCATAATGGAATTGTGTTGTTCATAAACTGACCTTTGAATCCTACAAAGCTGTCATGTCGATTAAATTAAATAATGTAAACCATTAAGTACAATAAACATACACAATCGTATAATGAGCATCGTAACCATTACAGACAATAACAGTAAGCTCTCTTTTGAGCCAGGTGTTAAGTTCATTGCTGGATCCCCCTCCATTTTAAGATGATTATGTACCGGGCTATTTGTAAGCCATCTGATAGACTAAATAATGTGACATATTTTTCTGAAATAAAGATTAAATTATTTTATTATATTTCTATGAATAACTGAATGTCTAGTAATTCATGTGTGTTAAAGGAAACTGAACCCACAGCTTTCACACTGAGCCATCTCCCAGGCCCTTTCCCTTTTTAAATCTTGAGACAGAATTTCACTAAGTCATTAAGTTGCCCAGCTGGGCTTCAACTTGTTATCCTCCTGCCTCAGCCTCCCGGAGCACTGGAATTATGGGCATAAACACTACACCTGGTGAATAAATATTTCTGCATACTGTTAATGTAGCTTCAGGATTAGACATAAATATTACTTCTTCACAGATCTTTCAGTATCCTTCAATCATGTTAATAAATAAATGAATATAAGAGTCACGGGCCAACATCTAAAATGCACATTACCTATTTCCCTGAAATTTCTTCCTTTGATCAAAAAAGATGTATTGTCAGTCCAAGGAAAGCAAGCCAATCTTGCCTTCTTCCTTCTCTTGCAAATCCACCCACATCTACTGCTATTGAAAGCAAGCAACCTTGTCCTTTTAACCAGTTGATTAGAACTCTACTAGCAATCTCCTGACTGCAGTTTATAGCTATTTTATTTTCCCAATTCTATGTTCTTCCTTTATCTCTAGGCTGTTTATTTGGGAATACCTGCCTTGAATCATACGCAGCACATAAAGTCCTTACAAATATCTGGTTTCTATTTTTGCAGAAGTAGCTAAGTTGATTTTTTAAATTATGTTTTTGCAAGGAAAGCACTACGTACCCAATTAAAAAACGTAGCTAACAACTCACCATCAAATATGTCAACCATTCTGAAGAAAGCCAGAGACAAGGATGACTTTCCACTGCCGGTGCGCCCACAGATGCCCACCTGAAAAAGCAACTGTCTCTCAGAAAGAAGGGGACTCAGAGAAAAAAGACAGAGAGTGATCAAAAGTATCTATGACTTAGACAAGGCATCACGACAAAAGCACAATTCTATTTAAAAGATTACACCAGGACCTCATGTTCTTCTCAGAGCTTATGAATTATCACTATTAAAAGTAAAATATGAAGTCTTTGCCAAGTCCTCAATGAATTGCATTCTACTTGGTTGTGTTGTTTGTCCTGCATTGTTTAATTTGTGGACTTGGTATATCACTGGGCTGAAAAATAGTCATCCCATTTTATCTTAGTTATGATAGGTTTATAACAAAAAGAATGGCTCCATTTTTAAATCCACATTTTCTTTTCTTTTTTTACAATCACTAAAAAAGTCACTTTGGGACTAGAGCTAGAATGGAGGCAAAGGTCCCCGGAACCTGATATGGTCATGAGCCAGAAGCTAGAAATTTTGAACTTCATACCTGTTGCTGACTTTTCTGATTTGCATAAGAGTAAAGCAAATGGTAACACGATCTGGAGAACACGTATTGCTCTATAATTATGACTCCCTCTTCTCTTTTTCACGTAGGTGCCTATGTCGGGTGTGGAATATTTTATGTGAACTCAGAATACACCTGGCTTGGATGTTCGAAGAGCTTGTGGTGACAGTGGGCACCTGTGGAGCTTCTATGTACAAAACAAATTGGTGGTAAAGCCATACCTTTTGCCCAGGTTTGATGTAAGCCTTGACATGTTTAAGTACAGGCTTCAGATTATTTTCATATCTGACGCAAAGATCATGAATCTTGATTTCTCCTTCCTGTGGCCAGTGTTCTGGAACCTGAGAGGGATCTGAGGGATGGAGTTGGGAGCAGATAATAGATGATAGGCAGATAGACAGATATAGATAGATAGATGACACATGGATAAATGATATAAATAAGTAGTGAGATATATGTAGAAAGAAACCTACTTATGCACATACAAGTATAAATTTATAATAATAATTTTACCATGTTTAAAATTTTCCTTAAATTTTAAGTAATACTGAATCAATCTCCATAGTGGTGGTGCATTTGTTTAATTTAAATCACAAGCAAGTTCTTGCTTAAGAACTTAACATTTTTTCCTAAGTTTTATTTTGTAGCATTACCCTCTACCACATCTTTCTTACATTCCATATTCAATTCTATTCAAGGCCAGCACACTAGTCCATTTGTGATATGATTTATTTGTTTAGCTAGTTGACCATCAAACACTGAGTGCTTAAAATGTGCAATGCACCGGGAATGTGGAGATCAGTGACATGGCTCAGGTGCCTTCTGTGTCCTTGGGAAGATACAAAGGAGTCAGCATCCACAGCTCTGCAGACCCTAGAGTCAGCCGAGGATGTCCTGCAAGCTAGAATGTGTCCCCAAAAGAGGTGGTGCCTGAAATGAATCTCAGAGGATGACAGCTGAGAAAATGTATTTCAAGTACAGTGACGAGAAGAACAAAGATGAAGAGAAGGTACAGTATCTTCATGTAGGGTCTCACTATGCATTCAGGCTGGCCTTGAACTTGATCTGTAGCCCAGGTTGGCATCAGACTTGCAGCCATCCTCCTACCTCAGCCTCCCAAGTGCTGGGATTACAGGTATGTGCCACCAGTCCTGGCTAATATGTGCATTTTAAGTTTGAGATTTTTATTTAATAAAGATTATTTTATCTTCAACAATGTATCTCTTGCCAGTTTTACTCTAGTAGAGTTGAGAATGTTGTTTCATATTTTAAAATTCAAGTCTCTGTCTCTCTCTCTGTCTCTGTCTGTCTCTGTCTCTCTCTGTCTGTCTCTCTCTGTCTCTGTCTCTCTCTCTCTCTCTCTCTCTGTCTCTCTCTCTCTCTCTCTCTCTCTCTCAGGGATGTAATCCAGGGCCTGCAAAGAGGGCTACATCCTTAGCTTTCTTTTTATTTTGATACATAATCTTGTTAAACTGCCTAGCTGGGTTTTAACTTGTTATCCTTCTGCCTCAGCCTCCTAGAGTGTGATATGACAAGCATGCATAACAATCAAGTTTCTTGAAATCTGAATTAATAGGGCTTGAGAAAGAAAATAAAATAATACACAATTTAAGTCATCAATTAAAATAAACACAAAATTTTATAACTTTATTAAATACTATTAAATAATATCTACTTTGGCTCTAGTTTCGTCCAACACTTTTCAGAACTATAATTGCCACATCTTTAGGGTACTGTCAATCAAGCAAAATCAGGGCAAGAGGGATACTAAAGTGGAAAACAAAAGCAAATTGACATTGTGCATGACATGCAGGTAATATTCGTTTAAAATAAACATGTAAGTGAAACAAAATATTATCCATAACAATACCTATGGTGCCTTCATAGTTCTCAGACTCCATGGTCAAGAAGCTGTTTACTTTCTTCACTGCGCCCATCTGGACCTCTAAGTCCGCCAAGTTCCTCACAACCCAATTCAAATAGTTGGTTATCTGTGCCAGGTGACAAAAAATGAGCACATTTAGAGTCAGAAGAAGTGCTAGGCATAGTGGCACATGCCTGTAGTCCCAGCACTATGGAGGCTGAGGAAGGAGGATTGCCATGAGTTCAAGGTCAGCCTGGGCTACATAGCAAGTTCAGAGCCAGCCTGAACTGCATAGAGACCCTGTGTCAAAAAAATAAATAAATAAAAAATAAGGTCAGCACCCTTTGTGGACTGCGGGAGAGGAGAACAAAATGCCAACAAAAAGCCAAGCCCTCCCTCTGAGTTGGCATCATGTGCAGGTCACTTGGAGGAGAACCAGACACCAGCCCCTTCAGGCACATGAACTAGGAGACAAGAGCCAAGGTCCCTCCCTTCCCCCATAAGCTACCAGCTGCTTCTGAGAAACACAGGCTGAAATGATAGCTATTGAGTTAAAATACAATTTAATGCTCGTTCACTGACTTTGCAAGTCTGACCATCTATTCAGAGGATGGCAATACCCAATGTAGCATACATGAAGGATCTCCTTCTGAAGGTGGTAGCAATTATTAATTCCCTATTATCTTGTTTTGAAGTCCTGTATCATTTTCACTGTTTTTTTTTTAGTTGGGTTTTATTCTGTTTTGTCTCATATGATTTTATTATATATGATGGCAGGGCCAGTGAGTTCAAAGATAACAAGATATATGATGGTAGCCAGTTTGAATGTACTATTATCGTATTTTGAAGTCTTTTATCGCATTCATTTTTTTTTTAGTTCTGTTCTATTCTATTTTGCTTGATTTTTACTATGTCTGAAGTTATGGGCAGCTATTTTGAAGCCAACAAGAGTCATTATGGGAACCATTGTTCATTTCCTATTGTCTTGCTTTGAAGTCCTGTATCACTTACATTGTTTTGTTTTGATTGGCTTTAGTCTGTTTCATTTTGCTTGGTTTTATTATCTTTAAAGTAAAAATTACAAAGTAAAGAAATGAAATAAAATCAGAGGAAGCAATTTTCATAATCACTGTATACTTGAGAATAAGATGGCTTAGACAGTTAGCATTTCATTATGTGGCATAATTCACAAATGCTTCAGATTGTCAGAGACCAGGGAAAATGTCATGAGCTGTGTTGGCCAAGGCGTTCACTCTCCTGCCAGGCTTCTCTCATGGCACAGTTTTGTGAACTTTCCCCTGATATTCCTGGGATAGTTAGATGTACTTCTATTTGGATTCATTCATATTAAATTTTACTGTTGCCAAGTGGATTGTGAACACCTCAGGCTGGAGATCTCAGGGAGGGCTTTAAACTGTGGGATTTGGGAAATTTTTAACAACTGTCTTAGAAGGTCAAAAATGAATCGAAGGTATCCTAAAATATAAAATTTGGGGCTGAATCTACTATTCTCAAGATGATATCTAGTCATACATTCAGACATTTCTAGCATCCGTGGGAGTGGATAGCAAGTTTCTTCAACACTGCACGGAAAGAGTATGATTCTCTTTTTTTCCTTTTTAAATATTTTTGTTACTACACGTTTATGGTACATAACAAACTCATCCATTGGGGAAGTTTTCATCATACTTACCGTAAGTGCATACAGAAGCCCCAAACCCACCAATCCAGAGTTGGACGATCCACTAATGGAGGCAATAGATGCGGTGAGGACGATGCAAGCTCCCAGATAATCCTGGAAGGGTTAGAAGATTATTCTCAACGTCTTAAAGCAGAGAGCTCAAGCAATCTAAGAGAGGTGGTCACCAAGGAAATACACATCATTCCTCATGTGCCCTGACAAGCTTTAGAGGAAGGATGGATACTTCAGGCATGGAATAATAACATCTTACAATAGCATAGTTGGTATGTAAGGGATGCCACAGTCTCATAATATACAAAAGGTACTGGTTCAGAAGTTAAATCTGATCCACAACCAGGATCAGATGTTGGGTTTGCTTTTTATTTATTTTTTTTTAATTTGTATTGCATTATGTTGGCAACCAAGCAATTCTTTTTGGCCCTGCTTTGCCAGCATAGATTTCATGTGCACTTACGTCAGGATTGCAATAGCTCCTGTGTGCAGGTCCTTGTAAAAAGTGCCTCTGATTAACTTGATGGGATCTGTATCTGAACTTTTTGTCAACTATCTATGCTCAGAGTCTGTAGGACAAAAGATCTGTAGATTTCATGTAAATAAGAAGAAAGGCTGTATTTGTTCATAAATTAGTAGAATTCCCATGTCTTTGAGTGTCTGAATTTTCCATGGCCCAATGATAAACTCTGTTGCAAAATTTGAAAAATTTATGGAGGCCAATTTCGATTCCACTGAAAGACAAAGGGACATCTGTTTATTTCCTAACATCTTTGTCTTTTCTCATTCCTCAACCTTCTTAGGTATTGGTCCGTCATATTCTTGGAAAAAGAAAGTCTAGAAATGCTTGTGCTGATGTGTCAAATGTCACAGAAAGCAGGTAAAATTTTATACATGAGTCGTCTAGAGTTATTGCAAGTGTCCTCCAATTAGTGAAATCCTTCTCTAGTTAGCTGTACTTTTGGTCCCTCACCACAAAAGATCTACCAACTGAGTGATAAGAAGCAATAGCAGTAATGGAATATTTAATGCACAAAAGTTAAAGAATTAAGTTTCTGCAGTCATAGGTACACTGCTGTTTCAAAGATGAAGCTACTGGAAAACAATGATTCTCAATCTTGCAATGAGAATCTGAATTCAAATGCCATTTTTTGATGATTACTAGCTAGTGAGCTCAGGCAAACAATTAAAATCATTCCAAGTCTCATTTTTTTTCTTTGAAAAATAGAAATAATACCTAATTCTCAGAGATTTTGAAAGGAATAAATACCTGAAGAACAAGTTAGATCTCCCCATTCCCTGTATCAGAATGTTTTCTCCTGGATGATTTCCAAAGGATTGAACGAACTTTATAGATGTTTATAAATCATAGAACATCAACGGTCAAAACAGGCGCTGACATAATTCTATATTGATTCCCATGATCATTACAAGGACTAACAAATCAAGTAGAGTTAATCTCTTGCCACAATACATTCCACAGAGGTAATAAATGTTTCTTTGATTGCTTATTTAATGGATCCATTGTTAACACATTCCAATCAGAGAGTTTTTCCTCTTGCTTCCTTTATTGGAAGCAATAACTGCATGTCTGCATGGCCAATCAATCTGGATTATTCTTTTATGCTATCATGCTCCTGAATACTCCTAAAACATTCAAGCATCCTGATTTTTTTCTTTTCAACTCTTCCTGCAAAGTTCAGACTTACAAAATTATTATACTTTTGTGATTTACATATTTTTTCCTTTAAAAAGACGCATAAAAAGTTTTGACGATAAATTGCAGAAAGTAAATTACTACTTTACTTTAGAAGATACATCCAGCAGTGTCCCCAGCAGTATACAAACAAAATGTGTCGTTGACCTATTGAGAAATTTGTAAGGGCAAGGTGTGCCTTAAGGGTTCTACAAGAAACCTTTTTATTAACTTTTATTCTCTGCTTACCATCTTTTAACTTCTTTGGAAAGAAAAGACTTAAGTGTTCAACATTCTTTAAAAATTTAAGCCAACTCATGACTTCCCTGTTTAGAATTACTGATGCCTTCCTACTGTACCCATAATAAATTCAAACTCTGATGAATTACAAGGCTTTATATGACTTAAAGTGCTAATTCTACACTGTGTCTATTCTGACCTTCACTTCTTCACTCTGCTGTAATCCCATTGGCTGCTTTTCTATTCAGGGGAACTCTAGTGATGGCTTAAAACGTTTGCCCACACCTGGCCCCCTGGTACCTGGCTCCTTCTCATGGGTTAGGAATCAACTCACACACCACCTCCTTGGAAAAACTATCCTTTCTTGGTGCCTCACCCAGCCCTGGAACAGTTCTCTGTCCCATTGCCCTGTTTCATTTTCCTCAAAGAATTTAGAAATATCCAAAATGATCTTATTGGCTTATTTAAGTGTTCCTTATTTATCCTTAGTAGAACCTAAATTCCATACGGACAGGATCTTTGAATATTTGCTAATATCATCTCCAGCAGAAAGAATAATGTTAAGAACATTGTAAAAGTTCATTGACTCTTTATGGAATAAGTGAGTAAATTCACTGCTTCATAAAACATGTACTGAGTTTTTCTATGAGTTAAATATCTTCTGAATTAGGATGTCAAGTGACCTTGTTTTAAAGATGTGATTCCCTATGAAGGTCTTTTCTATATTTTAAAAGTTAAATATGGAGTACCAAAAAAAAAAAAAAAAAGGTAAATACAGAAAGATACTAGAAAGGAGCACACTTGTTAAAGTTGAAAGTCTAGCACTATGTTTTATGACCTTTTTATCCCCTTCTTAGACCTGTGATAGTACAGTGCCCTACAAACCTTCTATCAGGCAGATGTAGTAGGAAGTCTTTGATCACTCTTTCTTTTTTTTCTTTTATGGAGCCAGAAAGCAAACCTGACACCTTGCATATGCTAGGCAAGTATTTACTCACTGAGCCACACCCACGATTGGTTCTTTGCTTGTTTAGAGTGAAAAACACTTCACCTGTTGGTGAGTTCAGACGTGGACTGTGCTGTTAGGACGTGAAGGCTGGTCAGATATGGTGGGTCACTAGGGGCATGATCTAGAAGGGCTCCTCCTCTGTCTCCCGAGCTGCCATGGACTGAGCAACTTTCCCCCCACTATCCCCTTCTATCATTCTGTTTCTGCCTTGGAGCTGGCTGACCATGGACTAACACAGTGAGACAAAATGAACCTCTTCCCCTTTAAGTTGGGGGTGTTGGATTTTGTCCTTAGTGACAGGAAAGGAACTAAGATATAAACCACGAATTCCATTATCCATTTTCAAATGAATACTTTTAATTCCTCTTTCAATGGCAACCCTAGGTGCTCACAGCACCAATCTCAAAGCTGTGAAATTGCTGTGTTCTTTACAAGAGCAGATCAAAATAGGTCCAGAATAGACCAAGTCCTTATCTGAGATACTGAACCAGCAAAATAATCATTGGGTCTTAATAAAGAAAAATTAAGTAGTAGGCTTAACATAAATATGATAAAGGAGATACAAAACATTATTCATTTAGTTTCTCTGTCTCTCAACTTACTTTATTCCAGCAAAAATTTTCTCATTCTCTGTTGGGCTCCCAGATTCATGCGCTGCACAGAACTAAATAGTGCATTCAACTAAATGCCAATTTTAAGTTTCTTTTCCTGAATGAAAAGCGGTAATTTTCTGGTAACACATAGTCTTATCTTGGCAAAAGAGCCACAAGAGAAGTGAAAGCAGGTGAGGGAAGGACAGGGAGAAGGCTGATGAATGAGTTGTCATCAGTGTATACTTCCCGGGCCCCTTTTAAGGGCTGGATTTTCAAAATGACCCATGAAGTTTTCAATAGCGTCATTAGGCTACGGTATTAGTCCAGTAATTAACACATGCTTACTTGCATATGTAAAGGAAACATTATGGAGATAATGTTTTGGGAACTTCAGCAAAAACAAAGTATAGCTATTTTTGAGATACATTTTATAGTGAATTTTTTTTGATACCAGAAATTGAATTCACAACCTTGCGCTTGCCTGGCAGGTGCCATGCTGCTGAGCTATGTCCTGTATCCAGTAAAAATTTTAAGACATGAGCTCAATTTCAAAATTTACAATGTACTAAATTCAAACAGCTATCATAATGTGAATGCCAGTATGTTTGTTTACTGTCTGTAATGAAGTTATTTATTATAAAAAGTCTTTTATACTGTTCATTGAGAAGATGCTATTCCTGCTAGCTTTTTAAAATACTGACTAGTTACTTTCTGGCTCATTTCTGGATTATTACTGCTCCTCAAAAGTATGTTTTATAAGGAATTGAAAATCTGGGAAGACATTTGATCAGAACATTATCTTGATTTGCAAAAGGAGAAAGCTTTTTGTGCACAATATTTAATAAGAAATTTCATAGTGCAATCACTAAACTCCAATTAGCTTTCCTTAAAAGGTACCATAACATAGGAAAACACACAACATAAGCTTTCATCAGCTCCCCATTTTCCACATCCTTTACTGTTAATGTAATGAGCAAATGTAATGAGTTATGAAGTGACCACTTGGTTTTTCCACTTCTTCCCATTTCTCTAGAAATAATGTGAACAGCAAAAATGACTTATAGGCAACAAAGGAAGGAGAAGCTGATGGTCTGAGTAACTCGCGCTGAGCAGAGATGACTAACCTCACTGATCTAATTGGTGCAAACACCTGTCAAAATGAAATGGAGGAATGAGAGCTTCAGTTTAGAAAATAATCTTAAGTATATTAATTATCCGTCCCCAAAAGAGAGCCCAGCCACAGGGCATTTTATTTGGATAGTGTTAAACGACAACCTCTACTAATTTTATGAATTCAATATTTTCTCCCAGAATAAAAGCCTTTGATTCCCATATCAAAGAGAGAAGGCTCTTGTCAGATTTCTAGAGACGCAATGACATCTAAAACAGATTTGCACATAGTTGATAGAAACTGAACAACACACGAGTCCTTCCCTCCATGTATCCCTCAGGAATACCTGTCTAAAGTCCCACAGAGTATTAGGAAGAATATTCCACTATGGCCTCTAAAAGGAAAATACAAGGTCGTGGCACACCTATCCACAGCTGCTACCCTGGAGTTGTGAACACGCAAAAAGGCTCTGTGTTGTTTCCCTAAAAGCAGACTCTTGTGCAAGGTCACTCTGGAGACTCTTTTCACTTCAACATGTTGACTCTAAAGCAAGATTCCTCTGCCTCCCCCTCCTTCACTCTCTCTTTCCTTTTTTGGCTTCCCATGTGAATTTTCTTTTATTCTTTCACCGCACACCAAGAGAAAGCCTTGGAAAGACAGTCTCTAGATAGAGTTACACAATTTTTTTGTAAATGGAAACACAGATGCCAAAGAACTGGAATTGTTTAGTGCAGAGGGATGGAGAGAGAACACTGAGCCGAACTGAAGGACGTAAGCAGCATTCAAAGGTTAGACTGCAGGGACAAATCGCACACCATCGAGGCCCATTTCGCTTGGAACCCACGGGGAAAACAGGCTCCTCCGCTGCCAGAGCAAGCCGGGTGGCCACAGCGAGATCTTTTTCTTCCAGCCAAGCTATTTTATTCTTTTAGACTCTTGTCCTTTTCTAACGCATGTTATGGTTTTTATTTTTTTTTCCAATTCAAAATGAATATGAAATGAATATAGTAGGGAAGACTGAATTCCATGGGGGAAAACCTCCTTTCCCAGGGAAGAAGAGCACACTGTGACTGTGTTGACACTTACTTGACAGGAATAGGAAAAGAAAGAAGAGATATACATTTACAAAACAATAACAAGCAAACAAAAAAAGGTAACCAGCAAAAACTGGATGGGGCCCCAGACACCTTCCTAAATTCAACAAACTGGTTTTGCTCTGGTTTCTCTGTCTTCATTTTCCCTGGCATTTATTGGCCACAGCAGTGTCCTTCCTTCAGAAAGCTAGAACTGGGAGTGAACAGGAAAGAAAGAGGAAAACATCCACAGAAAGCTATGAAATCAGGTTTTTTTCTCCCCGCTTTTCCATTAAGGCTCTGCATTCCTGAATGATAGCTTTCAGACTCACCAAATCTGCACCAGGAAATCCTGTTCCTTTCTTCCAATCTGTGCCCAACACAGTGATCTTCCTTGCCCTACTTGGATTGTGTTTCTGGTCTGGTAACTCTAGGAATACTTGCTATAAGCATGTATTTATTTTGACTCACTGAGTAATATGATAAAAGATAGGGAAAGGACAGGGTTAAGCAAGGAAATAAAAGGTTTTACCACTTTTTTTTTTCAAATGACTTACAAAGCAGAATATGTTCAGCTGTGAGGTTTCAGAGACAGTTCACACCTCAGTCTCTGAGGTCCTGTAGCTCAACGTTCAGATTTCTGACACAAGATCCAGTTATTCTGAACTGAAAGCATGTATCCACCGATGCAGACATAGCCACAGAAGTGTGGTAGTAATGAGGTCAGGCGTGTGCATGCAGTAGGGAGAAAAGATTATTTCCCAATAGAAATCATCTTCTGCACCTATTCAGCACTCCTACTGTGGCATATGTGCTTGGAAATATACCTGGTTCTAATAAAAACTCTGTTTCTCAGAAGAGAATGAGGGTAAACCTGACCAACTAACCATCAGTCTGTGGGGTTGTCAAATGGGGTATTGTCACGGTGGCCCATGTCCACAGCCACATAACGAGATGTGTTAAATAGCAACAAACTATACACACAGGACTATATCTGACTTCTGTCAGCAGGTATGTCTAGAATGTTGCAGTAAATCAATGGAATTTCTTACCTTCATCAGAAACAACAGGAAAAGTCGCTTTAATTTTTGAAGGAGGTGTAGGGGGTGTCAAAACCGGGGAATGAACAGTCCTTTTTTGTACTAGTTTTTATTTGTACTTTATCTATTTATTATTATTATATCTTTTTTGAGACAGAGTCTTATGCAGTTCAGGCTGGCCTTGAGCTCACTGTGTAGCCCAGGCTGGTCTGGAACTCGCAGTGTTCCTCCTGCCTCAGCCTCCCAAGTGCTGGGATTACAGGCATGAGCCACCACACCTGGCCTGTACTAGTTTGTAAAGGAGCATTCTAGTAATGAAACTGCTTTAGCAAGTGTTGGAGGGATTGTAACATACTGTGAGCAAAGAGAGGGCAGAGCAGAAAATGTATTATAAAGTAGTGAAATGAATGATAGGCTTGGCCCTTCCCGTGTGGAATGCCAGGTTTTTCTTTAGCTTTCTACAGATGGAACTAGACTTCCTTTATATTCAGGTGAGTTCTACTGATTTTTCATGTGGGAGTTAAAGCATTATTGAACCTCAAATGCTTCGAGTTTGGCTGCTGTTTCTTTTTAACTTGTCCTGACCTTCCCTCTCTTGGCACATGAATAGCTCATCTTTTGGCCATGGGAGCTGAACATATGGTTTGTGTGAAGATTCTGGTTCACCACTTGTCCATGAACCTGACGGTAGGAAGTGCTGAAGAGTGAAAACAGGAGTCCTGGTCGGACACCCACCTCATATCCAAAGTAAACACACTTAAAAAGCACGCTTGTTCTTCAAGTTTATGTAAATCAGATGCTGGGATAACTACTACCATTTTCCCTTACGATTCTAGAACAGTCTTTCGTTAGCTTATCATTAATTCTATTATTCACCAACGATATTTTCCCTTAGAGAAAAACACCGATGTCAAAAGGTCACAAACAACAAGCAATATATGGAAGTATACTTCATTTGCCTTTCTATTACCTATAGTTCTGAGAAACTCTACCCTCCCACCCTCAGAGTTACATGGAGGAAGTTGCTTACCAGTAGCCAATGGTTCTTTTAAAAACTTGTGAAATATAATTGTGCAAGGCACTGAATAATTTCTCCATAGCAACTAATACATGGGAGACTTTATAAGTCAGTGAGAAATCACGATAGCTAAAGTTGACAGGTTGTCCCAGATTCCAAATCTACGTCTACCACCTGATTCCTCAGATTATAACCTGAGCACTTCTAACTCTAACTACTTTTATCATCTACCCTCAGGTTGTTGAGTTTTAAAAGAATCCCTGCATATGGTAAGAAAGCATAATCAGTCCAAATAAAGTACTTCCAATAGTCCAAAACTGGTATAACCATTTAAAAATTCCATTCAACTCATTGCTACCATCAGAGTAGCTTATTTACACCACTGATCTTACAGTCAGGGATGCCAAATATATTTCTTCCTTTCTAGACCTTCCATCACATTTTTCTCTTACTTCAAACTATAGGTGGTTAGCTTACAAATCACTTACCAGGACAAGTAGAATTTCCATTCATTTAATCATTCATCCACCCTTTTGAAAGACATGGTCGACGGCATTTGGCACTCAATATAAGAGGGCATTTATGTATTTTAAATGCTAATACCTCCAAGAAGCACATATTCATGTTCCTGTTCTAAGACTAGGAACTGGGACTCAAATTAATTTGCTACAAGAAGTCTGTGTAATACCAGAGCTTATGCTTGTTCCTCTGCATCATCCATGACTAAAGAAAGCAATAAACAATTAATCGTAGTTTTTTACATTTTGTGTTACCATGATGCTCTACTGGCTTAAAACATAGAAAATTGTCAAGTCTCCCGAGCCTGCCCAGCTCAGTGAAGGAAACTAGTATAGTTGGTCACTTGTCAAATTTGCTCTTAAAAAAAAAAAGGAAGTTATATAAATATTTGCCAATCCATTAACTTATGGAGTCTGGAGACTATAATGAACACAGAATGAATTTTTGCTTTTGGGGCTATTTGTCTTGCCATTAGTTAAAACATTATGACAAATTTCATCTGTAACATAAACAGAGCTGAGCTATTTTAAAGTCCAGAAAATGTGAGACTAAGGCTGCCTCCGTGGAAGACTAATTTTTACAACTGTCTGCCTCTCCACATCACGCCTCTTCTCTGTTTGGTTTCCATTTCGAAATCATGAGATGAACGTACCGTCCTGACCTCTAGCCATCTGTTGGCAGCTGAGAGAAATAAGTAGGCAATGTTGTTCGTGTCTGTCAGTTCCAGCATACGTTGCTTAAATCTGGTTTCATGCCTGCAGAAAACAAAAATATTATGATGTTAGCTGCACAACCGGAGAAGTAATAAAAACCAGCCACACTTACTACCACACAATTTACTCAACAAAGTGACAAAGTAATGGGATAGAGTGATTGGTAACTAGATTCCTACTTCAAATGTAGACCAGCTGCTGGAGCTTTGAGCAGTTCTAGTGAACTTGGTGAGGTTGAGGGTGTGCTCCTCTTTCACACCCCTACTAGGGAAAAGAGTCTCTCTGATGACAAATTCTTATTAAAGACCATTACATAAATGTCCACATACTGTGGCTATGAAAACAAAGCATGACCTATGTTGCAAGGGTCCTACAAAAACCACTACGAGTTCTAGGCAAGTAAGATATATTCCAATTTCTTTTAATGACATTTATTGTGCATTTTCAAATGGTATGATTAAGAGTTGGGTAAGAAATACTGGGGCAAGAGAAACATAGGAAACGATGCATTTGTAACAGGTGAATAGATACTTCAAAAATTTTGTGTTGCCTGGTGTTCCTGGGAATCAAAAAGGGAAAATGGGATGGTAGAAGAGGAGGACAGGGAGTCTCACGGATGGTATACGTTCTTATTAGTAAGATGTATACACACCATTGTTTCGAGCTTTCTGTAGGAATGGTCATTTCACAAAAAAGATCTTGGTCTGTGGTTCTAAAGAGGATACCTGGGAATATGTATCTAAATGTGTCTATCACATCTAATGTGTGATACACACATTTTAGATATAAATCCCTGATAGCTTAAGTTCATTCTTGATACTCAATATAATCTATATCCTACTTTATAAATGAAATTGCCTATTTGAACATGTAAGTTACTGTCACAGAGACCCAAGCTACATGGTTAAGAAAATCTATTCTGAATTACAAAAATAGTCTCTTTTCATTTTGCAATTATTTTCCCTGAATAACAGAAACAATGGAAAGTTGGAAAGTAACTGGCTTGAAAGTTGGGGAAATGCCAAATCAAATGTGGTTTACTCACTCACTGCAATCACGGCTTGTCTTATATAACCCATCTTATGGGTTATTTTGCAAGGAAGAGCCAAATTTCATGTGACAACCAGCTAATGGTTCCTGTCTGATAAGGGAACCCCACTGCTCCCCCAACATTCAAGTGAAATTGCAAAACTTTTTAATAAACCGCCATTTGTATCAAAGAACAAAGTCCTCGGTGGAGCATTCCCTTGGCCTACTGAAGCGATCCATACAACTCACTGTAAAGCAGATACTTGATATCTCTCCAATCAATCTGATCATTCCAGTATGCTATGCCAGACAGATAATTCAGTCAGACAGAAACATCTGATCTATAATAAGCAAAGGATTCAGCCACCAGAGCCAAATAATTACTTCACTTTGAGTTACATAGCCTTGACCTAAGTGCCATGCACGGGAGGACCTGTGCTCAATGACAGCACACTAGTGTGTGACTAAGCCATCCCAAGGACATGTTTACCCTCTAGGTGAGTCTTTCAGGGATAAATACAGTGAACAGCTAAAAGGTAGGGGATTTCATACTGTGATTAGATTTTATAGTGATAGTAGAAATGAACTTTAAATATTCAAGTAAGGTTCATTATTTCTGTACCTATTGGTACAGAAAGAGTTTCATTCATGCGTTCAGAAACACTTAGCAAACATCAGTTCTAAATGAATCACTATACCTGACTGAAGATACGCATAACATGAACAAGAATTGTATGAACAAGACACATCCTCTTTCCTGGACAAGTCCACTGTCCATAATGGAGCTAAATGCAGTATTACCAGGTAGGCATGGTACAAAATATTATCATGATCCCTGTACACGACATCCCACTCCATCCTAAAGGCAGGTGATGATCTGCACTGATCAGAAGGTTTGAAAGAGCGAGGATGGACAGAGAGCTGGAGGTGAAGCCGTGATTTTCAAAGGACAGGAAAGATGGTCTGAGTGTGGGGACAAGCTGACTGTCACAGGAGAACATGGCATCTAAGGAAGCACAGGAGCAAACACACAGAAATGAGAAAGCTGAGCATATTCAGGGAGCCTGAGATAGCTCAGTTTCTCTCCCCAGCCAAGATGAGGCAAGCTGGAGCAAAGCCTGTGGACCTCATCTGAGATGAATATCAGATATCTGACTTTGACGGTGTTTTGTCTGGGACTCTTCTTCCTTTCTCTTAAGCTGAGCTGTATTGTTTCAGATACGCTCTGAAAGGGTTTGGAAAATAGAGCTGGAGACATCTGAGGCAGCCCTGAGCGGGGAGGGGTGAAATGCAATGAACATTCTTTCTGTGTGTTTCTAGTTGGCAAGAAACCTTCTGTTTTCCTAATGGAAACTTTGACACAGTCTGTATCTTTTCATCCACATCCAGCTCATCTTCTGAACATTCTTAGACCTTTATTCTGTCAGACAAAGAGAAAAAGAAAAGAAGAAAGGTCACTGAAATCTCAGTCTAATTTAACTGGGATACTTTCGTGGTAAACTACATGAGGTTGTTCATTGTTCATGTGAGTACACCATGAACCCTAATACCAGAGGAGGAAAAGCAGCCTAGTCAGTAAATGCTAACTTTCCAAAAGAGCTCCGGGCTCTGGGGATCTGGAGAGCTGGAAAGAAAGGAACAGATGGATGGATGAAAAAGAACATGTTCGATTTTTGCCCACAAAAAAACAGGCATATTCTAGAATCTTATCTGCGGCAAGTGGACCATTCTCACATTTTCAAGACTTGTGCTGGTTTTTATGGTACTTAATATCTGCTTTTCAAACGAATTCTAGGAGATCTAATTTGGGGTCTTAGATATGGGCTGAATACTTTGAGGTAGAAGTTAGGTTCTTCTAACTATATCAAACAGGGGAGGTTAACAGGATTTTGTTCTTCTTACAGTACCTATAATTTTTTCCCAGTATAAAATTAGCAATAGTAACACTAAATTCTGCTTGTGTGTCTAGTAAAAGTTAAACCTGGACCACTGGTTAATTTGCTCTTCAATTCTAAATCTTCCTCACTTCCTTCAAGATGCTTTTACTGATTCTTGTCCACAGCACTCTCAGGTGACCTCTCTTGGTCCTTCAAGGAAAGAATACTCTGTTAGGATGACCCCAGCAACTTCCTGCTACACTGCCAGGTTTCCCTGCACCCATTTACATTCCTCTTTGTCCTCACAATCCCCAGACTTCATCCTGTTCAGCTAAACGTATCTCTCCGCATTGGCACTTGAACATGTCCCTGTCTGCTGGATGTGAAGCTCTGCACCATCTGTCTGATCCTTCTCATCCTATATCTCTCCTTCTTCACTTTCCCCTGTAAAATGTCCAGCTCATTAGTGTTTGGTTCCCAGGCTGGGTCCCCACCCCAAAACCCAAAAAAGTATAGAAAAAACTCCCCAAGCTTCACACCTTGTTCACGGGAAAGCACCTTGCAACCTGAGTTCCTAGTACAGGGAGCCCACAGAAGACATCCTGTACCCTTGCTCAGTGTCCCCAAACCACCAAAACATCCTATACCCATGCCAACCCCTCTCTCTCCTGGAAAGTCCCCAAATTTTTACCTCTCAGAAAGATCTCCCTCTCAACCAAACCTTCCTCCTCCCCTACCTAAACTCTCCTATAAAAAATGCCTTGGTGATCTTCAGTTTCTCTAACAATTACCTTGCCAAAAGTAAAAAGATAGTCAGAACTTCCTTTAATGGTCCTTTCTACCCCAGTGATGCTTCTTGAAGGACCAGTTTTCCTTCGCCACTCTCATGTCTTCAACCCTCTGGATTCTGACTTTGATCCTCTTCCACTTTTATCATTTTTGTTTTTGTTAAGGTTACAAAGCACTCTTTGGTTTCCATATCCAAAGAGACTTTTAATTCTTCTTCTTCTTTTTTGCTTTAACCACCATTGGTCTTTCAATTTCATCTTAAAATACTACCTTGTTTAACTTCATTGACACTGTCTTTGGCTAAGTCACACTACTAATATATTTTCAACTTTTTGGTTAAAATTTCATCATTTAACTCTAACTCCTATCACTATCTTGATTCTTTGCCTACTATTTAGTTGACTTATTTTGTTAACTGTTCTAAATTCCTTCCTCCTGTTAGGATGATGTGGTCTGCCCTGCTAAGTGATAATATTTAGTCCTCTTACATCATTGTAGTCTTGGGAAAAAGATTAAATTAAGGTCCATTCCTCAGGTACACATTGATTAAAAATAAGTACAACAGTCAGGCCTTCTAGATTTTTCCTTGACTTGGGTAGAGCTAGTCAAGGTCAATATTTGCCCATTAGGTGACATTTGGATGAAGGGCTAAGAAAAATTTCAGCTGACCACTCAAGTGCCTTTGGTAGCTGCTAGATTGGCAAAGTTCTTGGATGGAAGCCTCTTCCATCTGGATACATAGGGAACATGAGAGGAATCCTCAGTGAATTTGATCTTTACCGGGACTGACTTCTCACTCGTAGGACAGTTGGTCTTTGCAGGGTTCAGCCTGCTACAGCATCAGATCAGTTGCCAAGGGTTAGATATTCCTTTGGCAGGGAACGTGTTAGTTTGGATTTGATGTTGGCCCTTGTAGGGGTTGGCCAGGATTAAGAGGTAGCATGCAGAAGGATTGGTAGTTAGAAAACTGAAGTCATGACAAGGGACATGATCAACCCATTCCCTTCCTGAAGAAGTTGACCAGAAAGTGAAGTTCAAGTGGAGAGGGATGAGAGTGGATAGGAAATGAAAGCAAAGAGTCACAAAGATACTGAAAGAAAGCCACAGGGCTCTACAATGCATTCATATAACATTTGAGCATCTATGACACATTACTAATTCTAAAGGTGCTCCCAATCTTGTAGAGCAATGCTTGTAGAAACAGGTGCTTTTGGTACAGTGTGATAAGTTTTGGAGCCATCACAGAGATCTGAAGAAGGCAGGTAGTGCACATTCTGATTCCAGGGAAGGCTTTCCCCAGAAGATGATAACTACCAGTTAATATTCCAACAAGCACTGCAAGAGCCAAACACAAGAAGGGGATGGAAGGAATAGGTCATAAAGCCTCTCTGAAGCAGGAACTTGAGGTCAGCTTTGTATAAATGACCAGTTTGGAAGATTGTAGGTTTTTTTTTTTTTTTTTTTTTTTTGTACCAGGGATCGAACTCACTGCAGACTTGTAAGGCAGGAGCTTATGCTGCTGAGCTAAATCCCTGGCAGAAGAGTGTATTTTCCATAGGATTTTTCCCGTGCACTGTTCCTTGCGTGCTGGTGGTCTGAAGACTTTAATCAAGTTTTCTAAGCACATACTCCTTTGACAATCCAATTCATAGCCAAAATTTTAAATAATATCTGGGAGGAGGATGATGCTCAAACCTGATATCTTTTGCCTTGACACATCTCCTGAACACCAGGCTTTTTTTTTTTTTTTTAACACCAAACTTGTATGTGCCACTGACCACAAAAATCTCCAGCTCTGTGTTGGGTCAGCAGCTGCACCTCCTGGCCCATAACCAAACTCATCCTCTCCACCCACAATCCTTTACCTCACCTTCAATTTGACAACTTAGAAAACTGTACTTACTCATGAAAATCCAGGCAGCAACATCTTCAATTTCTGTTGCATTCAGTTGATCCCTAAATATTATTGGCTCCACTTCCCAGATTATTTCTAAAATCGGCACTTTCCTCCAAATCCTGAGTATCTGTTTTAGGCAGCTCTGCCATATCTCACTAGCCCACCTGCAAAAGCTTCCTGGCATCTTTCTGCCCTTGGCCTTAACCTTTGCTATTTCAACATCCATAGCAGATCAGGGTTATTGCAATAAACAACCCCCTGTCATTTTCCTGTTAAAATTCTTTCAGTAAGTGTTATGGTCTATATCTAGAATGTCTCTGAAAAGACTCTTACACTGAAAGATGGAGTTTTTGGAAGGTGATTAGATTATGGGGTTGTCATGCTCATCTGGGAATGCATTCTCCAGACAGTTCAGAGCTGACTCTCTTCTGTTAGGATATGGGGGCAGGACAGAAGAGGCAGGTCACTCGGGAGTAATCTGGAAGTTTGTGTCTCCCTCCCAAAGGTCCTCCCATTACTCTCTCCATTATGTGAGCAGCTTTGCCCTTTCAGACTCTTCCACCACGTCCTTCATGCCTTCAAGACAGCTAAACATGGACCGGATCCTTTATAAATAAAAATTCTCTCCTCCTGTAAGTTGCATGTTGGGTATTGTGTCCCAGTGATGAGGCACTGACCAAAAAAGTGACTCCTCAACATGGAAAGAATAAAGTCTAAGATCCTTAGCAATACCCACTTAATACTCTTTATGGGCGTCAGTTTATGTTGTCATTATTATTATATCCATCCTCTCTGCCCTTTGGTGTCCCGATAATACTGGATTCTCCATTTCCACATAAAGTAATTGTACTTGGCATATATTTAATATTCAAATAAATATTACTTAAATAAATTAACTTGAAAGAACTGGTTTGTCAAAAAGTAAACTTTACTATGGTGTATTTACCAATGATTGTTGCTGGCAACTAATACAGTATCAATCTTATGTGGGTAATCTATATTCAATATCAATAAATTGCTTTTACATTATCAAGAAAGGTGCTGCACACTGCAATGGAAAAATACAACATTGAGACTATAAACACTGCATGATGAAATCTGGAAGATTTATGTAGAAATTCCTTGGTATATAATATTGTGGATAACTGTACTACATATTCTACTCCATGACCCCATTCTACATTTTTTTTTATTGGTACCAGGGATCGAACTCACGACTGCCTGCTTGCAAGGCAGGCGCTTATGCCACTGAGCTAAATCCCCAGCCCCTCCAATTCTACATTTTAAAAGAAATGTCTTAGGTTAGCAAAATTCTCCTATCTAAATCAATATATATTTCCAATTAGGGTTGTAGAAAGATGTAGCGCTTTAAAATGTTGATTTTCCAAACCAGATGAAATATTGAATAATTACATTTCTCTGCTCTAACTCAAATGAGACGATGCAGCTTGGTATTTTTTTTTTTTTTTTTTTTTAGAAATAAGTAAGCATCCTTCACCAGAAGCTTGGATTATTAGTCTGTCCACAAACATTGTCAGAGTTATGATGACCACTTTTATTTATACTTGGGTTTAGCTCTGTTTATTGGACGTTTCTTCAATAGTCACTGAGGTTAATCCTTTACATGAACTGCCTAAATAATCAAATAATTACTGGATTATTGGATTGAGGCAAGGTTGATTTTTTCATTTCGTAGATGAGGAAACAGAGGCCAGAGAATTCAAAAACCTTCTCCAAATTACCTTTCCAATATGTTGCTCCATACTTTCTTTACTCTTGTTAAAATTCCAACCATTGAACTCCAATTCTAATCATTTATACCACATTTTTCTTTGTCCTGCTTTAATTCACGGTCAAGCACATAGTGCCCACCCAAATACTGGTAGTGATTAACTGACATTTGTTGATAAGCATTTGTCAATGATGTAATAGCCTAACCAGCAATATGAAAACATGTTCCCTCACCTGAAGGCCCGGATAGTGGTGAGTCCTTCAGCTGTTTCTGAGAAATGGCAAAGCAGAGGAAGCTGGGTACTATCGTCAAGTTCCTGGAGGTCCCTAGGACAGAGAGAAGGACAAAAACAGGCTGCACATCCACCTGAGCTCAAAGACCGCCACATTCATTCTAAACCAAGGTTACTTTGGTATTGCATTTGTATTTGTCATTTTAATTCTTTTCTCTAATATGCATTTACAAAGAAATTCAACAACTTACAGTCTAAAATGAAAGGAAAAGACAGATACATAATGAACACAGGTGTCGGCTGATCCTACGGTGTTGTACAAAACACTCAGCCTTGCGTAGCAGCTAATGTAAATTGCTATACAGACCCAGAGACTGAGAGTTAACTCACAGTAGGAGATTTATAGCACTTTCTTTGGGCAGGTAAAATTTAGGTGAAACTTTAAGCATGATGAGGGCTTCAAAGAAATAGACTGGAAGTGAATCCTAGTTAAAGGAATCAGAAGGGGGAAAACACAGCAGTTTGAAGAGCTTGGCAAGTTCAGTCCCAGCAGTGACCCAGAATCCTGTGGGGGCAGCAAGAGGTTCCATAAAAGATGTGTCTTTGTAAGCCTGGCACTGGCCTGTAGGGTATTCCTAAAGGGCCGGAAAATCTAGACGGGGCTTTATTGACATAACTTGGGGGACAGCATACAGGATGATAGAGACTGGTTGAGTAAAGTTATATCAGCCTATGTAGGAGGTGGCTAAAGTTCTGAATTAGTATAATGCTGACCACATTTAAAATAAAATCCACATGGAAGAGTGTGGATTTTGAGGCAGGCTACTACAAGTAGCCTTATAAGCTTCAGAGATCAATTAGTTATGGAAGAGTAAATAACAGGGAAGTCGAATATGGCTTGGCTGTCTCTAGGTTAGCTGACTTTCAAAAATTGAAATGTTGAGCTGGGGCAGAGCTCAGTGGCAGAGCACTACCCCAGCACACGTGAGGTCTTGGGTACCACAGAGAGGAAAAGCATACGGTTGTTTACCGGGGTGGGGTGTTTACCTTCCTTTACAGAGGAGGATATTTGGAGAGAAAAGACAGTGGGTTTGGCTTTGGACACAACAAGTTAAACCCCTTCCACCATTCACAGTTACTCTGAAGAACTATATGGATATGCATGCATACCTGTACACGTGTGTTTGTGTGCATACACATACCACATATACATGTGTATATATGTATATAAAGTGTGCTAGGAACAGAAATGCTGGAATCTGATTCTTTTCATAATGATGCAGAGCCACGATAAATTTTCTTTAGCTCTTAAAAGCTAGCAGTTCCAGAAGACAAGAGTGGGACCATTTGTTTCCAAATCTTTTTCTTTTTTTTCTTCTCTATCATCTTTCTGCTTTTTGCTAGGTCTTTAGGGTTGAGCAATTAGAGAAGCAATGTCAATGTTCACCTGCAAGAGTCAGCTTAACTGGTAACACCGGTCCACAATCGTCAGCAATCAACCATTAATTCTCGGCCCACAAAAAAACACAGAGTTCAGTCTGGAGTTTTCTTTTTGCTATTGTTGTTATTGTTTTTCATTTTTTAGAACTCGAACTGAGTCTATGGCTTTTGCACTGACTTTCTCCCAGATTTTTTTTAACCTTCTAACTTGAACCAGGGTCTCAATAAATTGTCCAGGCTAGGTAGGAAGTTATGATCCTCCTGCCTCAGGCTCCCAGAGTTACATGATTAGGTGTCTTTTATCATCAGACCTGATTCAGTTTGGAATTTTTTGTAATTTTTGCTATCTTTCAAAAACTTCGTTTTCTTTTTTTATTTGTACATGTTTGAGATAGATAAATACATCCATGGTAGGGAGCTGATGCATGTGAATACTGAATCTTAATCCTTTGTATTCTTCTTTCCCTCCATCTTCCTCCACGGAATGAAAGCATGGTTGTTTGATTCACTATCAATGTTAATTGTTCACAAATGATCATGTCCTTATTACTGCACCTTCCACGCAAGCAGATTATCCTCGTTGCTTATGAAGAGAATTCATCATTTAAATTTGTAACAGACTTGGAATATTTTTCTAACTTTTGTACTCAATGAGTATTGCTTAATGCAAAAATAAGCCCAAAGGAGCATGCGGTTGAATTTAGACAAAATTGTTTGCTATTAGTGGTGAGAAGGCAAGGATACTTTCAAAAACAGCCAGCAGCCATGAAATAATAAACCTGAACTTCTTGGCTCCTAGGCAGACAGCATCAACGAAAGCATCAAAGGCAATGAAAGTGTGAGTTTGATTGCTCCCATTTGTCTTTGGTCTAAATTTGTGGGAGAAGAACATGAGGCTGGGGATGATAAACATTCTCAATTTCAAATGGATTCCTGAGGCTTGAGGCTGCTGATTCATAACTCTGAGGGAGAAACAGCACTATTAAGCTATGAAATGTTCTATCTCTGCACAGGTTTCCAAACATAGCCTTCCATTTCCTTCTCACCTGCCGCCATCTTCTTTTCTCTTCCCTACATGGGAGTCATATTAAATATCTTCCATTTCTGAAATAAACTCAGCATCTGTCTTTTGTTTTACACTTAATCCACATATTATTTATATATTTCATTTCACCAAGAGACATTTTCTTTGAGAATATGTGTTTGTCATGATGCTCTCCTCATTTTTACCAAGTGGGTTAAGCTATTTGCAACACAAAAGTACATAGCATGTATTGAAATAAAGTGACTCCTACAATAACAAAATTTGCTGTACTATTTAAGGCAAAGCTTCAAAGTTACATTGGAAATTTTAAAACTGTGGATACTACATTCCATTAGTTTATTCAATATCTCATCAAAAGATAAATCCTATAATTGATAGAAAGATCTAAAATTTATAGCTACCCTTTATTTATTGGACTGGATGCCCAAAGGCATATCACATGATCCAATCTGAAGTTTTCCAGGCTACAAAAATTAGAACCTCTTGAATATTCATTATCTTCTTTTCTGGTAATCACTGATTTAACTCTTAATTTTTTTAACCTCTAACATTTCACTCCATGTATCTGAAGGATTTAATTTTTTAATCTTTCCTCCTACTAGGAATAGTCATGTCACTCAAATCATTATTTTGGGGACTGTTTGTTTTTTGCATTATGTCAAAGTCATGTTCAGGAGAAGAACCAAAAAATGGAAAGTTTGGCATAATTTATGGACTCAGAACCCAATGTTGAAAGCCATGTAAGGCCAAGATAATCAACTGCAGAAACAATTGAGTTATAGTACAAGCACAGCCTCAAGCATGGGTTACATTTCTAAGTTCCACACTTTATCTTGAAAAAAGAACACTACTGCAAAAATAGTTCACAGTATATCAAGTACAGAAGTTTTTGAAGATATGATGAGACCACTGTTTGACTTACTTAGAGGCAACTCGGAAGTATTTCTGGATGAAATAAAAAGCAACGCCAAGGGGCACAAGAGCAACCAAGAACACAGGAGTAGCATAGGAGATCATTCCGATGGCGGACAGGCAGAGCAGCGTGGAGCGAGTCAGAGATTCCAGAGTCGGAGGGATATGCTATCAAGAGGTATTTTTGAAATAAAATAGATTTTAGTTCAAATATAACATTGGCCACAAAAGCAGTACAGAAAAATATTCATCATAAGCAATTCTTCACTCCCTACAGTATAGTTTATCTATTTATCCATCTACATGCCATTATTTACATACCTATTTTTCTTGGCATTACATAAATGGCATTATAGTATAAATATCAGCTATCAACTCAAATGGGTGAACATCTTGTTGCCTCTCTAGTACAAAGAGCCAAAGGACTTAGTGGAATCCAAAATGTACAGTGGATAATGTGAAAGTGAAAGGGGAGGATATGGCTAAAAAGGGAGGGAACAGCTGGGATGGGGGAAAGCAGGACAGAAAGAAAAGAAGAGAGAGAGAGAGAGAAAGGAAGAAAGAAAGAAAGAAAGAAAGAAAGAAAGAAAGAAAGAAAGAAAGAAAGAAAGAGAGAAAGAAGAAAGGAAGAAAGAAAGAAAGAAGAAAAGGAAGGAAGGAAGGAAGAAAGAAAGAAAAAGATAAAAGAAAAAGAAGAAACAAATGAAGCAGAAAAAGAAAGAAAGAAAGAAAGAAAGAAAGAAAGAAAGAAAGAAAGAAAGAAAGAAAACCCAAGAAGCCCAAAGAAAGGAAGCAAAGAACCCATAGGATGATTGAGAAGAGGATCAGATAATTATCCTGTGCATCTCTGTTAGCCCAACAAATGGTTTGTGTGTTCATCGCTTGATCATTTTTCATGCATGTGCCTGCTAATCTGAACAATCACTTTGAAGACAACAACATGTAACATACTAACCATTGTTAATCCCCTATTCTGTTTTGAAATTCTGTATCATTGTGTTTGTTCCTTTACAATTAAAAAAAGAGCAAAATAAAAGACATGGTAAGGAACCGGCAGGCAGACCCTTTGCAGAGGAGAAGAGGAATCTAGGGATGGGGAAGAGAGAGGGCGTGGAAGGGAAGTGAATAGAAGTGGTTTAGGTGTGGTATGTACGTGCACCGACTTCCCATAATGAGTGTCTTAATTATGTATCACAAATATGTACTAATAAATAATGAATTAAAATTAAAAATCTTAGCTCTCCATTGCTTGCTTTACTTTACTGAATAATATCAACTGTAAATCTTCCCCTGAGTATACATATGCATCTTTTTTATGGCTGCATAACATTTTAAAAATTTTATGTAGCAATACCCCTAACTGTAAAACATTTAAATTATTTTTCTGTAATTATTTTATATTCTTTGAATGGTTTAAATTGATTATAATTTTATAATATATAGTAATGTAGTAATTTATTAGTATTAGTATTTTAAAATTATGGATGAAAAATTCTTAATGTACATATACAGAGAATTTTTATGACTTCTGGTATGGGATATCTTTCTTCATACTAGGTTATTTCTGTATTTATTTATAATATAAATTAATCATTTTTGGTAAGTTTTTAAGTTAGTGTATAAGCAATTCTCAATTTTCATATAATACATCTTACCCAAATATTGTGCTGAACTTTCTGTTTAGTTTACTAATTGTTTTGAATTTTTACCACTTTCTTTTTGTCTTTTTCCTTTTTATTGATACTGGGGATTGAACTCACGACTGCCTGTTTGCAAGGCAGGCGCTTATGCTGCTGAGCTAAATCCCTAGCCCCTTTCTGTCTGTTTCTAACAAGTATTCTGTATGAAATGTTTTAGGTGCAGCATGACTAAACACCAATGCGATGAAAATATCAAAATTTTTCAGCACACTTTTTAGTTAGCTGTACATGGAGCAGTCTATCTAAATCAGGGATCATTTGTCTGGAGTGTCACAAAGGGCAAGAATTAGAATTTTTTTTGAGACAGGATCTTGCTGTGCAGTTCAGGCTGGTCTTGAACTTGCAATGACCTCCTGCCTTAGCCTCCAGGGTGCTACAGTGCTGGGATCACAGGTGTGTGACACTAGGTTTGGCTAAAGGCTGGATTTGATTGATCCTTTTCTCAATCATCCTATGGGTCCTGCTCTTGAAGTAATTGATGTTTTTTTTAATACTTTAATGTCTAGTTTTAGGACATGCTTCTAGAGAAACTAAACTGCTAAATTGGGCATTCTTAGGATACTCCCTAAGATATGAGACCATGTAAGGTTTCAAAAGCCAATCTATTAAAATCAAAGAACACTTGACATAGCCTAGAGTCTCTCCCTTCTGGAAAATAACCGGTATGAATATTAGACCCTTCAGAACTTGACATTGGGGGCTGGGGATTTAGCGGCATAAGCACCTGCCTGGCAAGCAGGCGGTCGTGAGTTCGATCCTTGGTACTGATAAAAATGAAAAAGACAAAAACAAACAAACAAACAAAAAAACAAAACAGAACTTGACATTGTAAGAATATGGGCACCACTGATAAAAATTATTCCTCTATAATAAAAAACTCAATGCTGGTTTCTGATTTGTTGGTTTGTGTTTCTCTTTATCTCATGCTGATTGTTAGTATCCTCTTCTACATGCATAAATTCACTTGAACTAAGGTTTTACAATTTTATTTTAGAAATCATTTGCATGTTTTCATATGAATGCAAATACGGCTCATTTTAAATTTTAGCAATTCTGTTAAGAATAATCATGTTTTCTCTTAAAACTCTGCTTAGCTTACACTGAAAATTTTATTTTTGAGCATGGAAGTAACTCTGGACTCACCTGGTCAATGATATTAGTATCAGCTGAAAAGCGGTTGAGGATTAGTCCCAGGGGTGTGGTATCGAAGAACCTAAGTGTGGAACAGATTGAAGTGCATGATAATCCTAAACTCTCTGCAATTGCAATCTGAGCATGCTAAGAGACACGTAGACTCATGAAAACAAGAAGTCTTCTCTATTCACATGCTCAGGGACTGAAGAAACACTTTAAACTTCCACATTTTAGTTAGATTTTAAAATATATGTTTTTATGATTCTGTGTGTGGGAGAAAGAACCTACTCCTGTTCTTACCTTATTGGCCCAAGAATGATCTTCTTGAGAAGATTGTGGTGGAGATTTTTGGCAGCCGTGAGACCCATCCACTCCACAGTGAGAGATGTGACGAGACAAAGGAAAATACCTCCTCCACAAAGGATGCTGAATCCAGCCACATAGAAGGTCTACACCGCAAGCAACAGGAAGGTTTGCAGATCATTAACAGTTGAGTTGTTTGTTTTTTATTAGAAAACCAAACGTCTGGTAAAACAAGATTGTTGAATTGCCTGTTTTGCATACATTTAGACAACTGTAAGTAAGCTGGCTTTGGAGACCCAGGACAGAGTCCCCACTACAGTCCCACAAGTCAACAACCCCTGCTAGATTCCTGCCCAGGAGATGAAAGATGAAAGGATAAAGCTTGTTTTAAAGTTTGGGCAAATTCTTAGCTTTCTACCTTTTAAAACTCATCCTTTTCATCCCTAAGCACACAATGACCAGCTGATACACTCATAAAAGGACACTAAAAATCAAATACCATCAGGACAACAACCAAGAAGTCCTGTATGCATGTATGGAGAATACATTTTTAAAAATCATGTGTATAAAACTCTCTTGAATCCAAATCTGTAACAGCATCTTCAAATGTTTCTTACGATAAACTTTAAAAATACAAGGAATAATCACAGATCATTTTCTATGCAATTGACAATTTATGCTATTTCAAGTCCTCTACTCATTGCTAACTCACATGCTTGGACATTTGGGCTGTTAGTACCTAAATAACTATGATGGTGACACTGTTGATCTCAATAATTCCTTGATGACTTAAAAGCACAACTGAACCCACAGTACCTGATCAGTTTTTCCAGTATTATTTATACTGTACTCAGATGTCCAAGTAGCCAGCCAATAGTCAATAGCTACAATAACTGAATGCTTCAGAAGCTTAGAGAAAATCATCAGGAAGAGTAAGAAGAATCCTCCAGATGTAAGGTACCACCAACAGGTTTTCCATGGCATTTTAGTCCTGAGTCTCATTACGGTCGACATGTTATCATCTTCATCTTCCTCTTCTTCTTCCTCTACACACACACACACACACACACACACACACACACCAAAAACAAACATCTGTTTAAGTTTCAGATGAGAATGAGGAAGATATAATTTTTATTGTCACACAAAAAAGCACATAAAACCACCTTCAAATATTTAGTTTGGATGCTGTTAGCAGGGGAAACCTTGTAGGGTTCTTTTTTTTGTGTGTGTGTGTGTAAAATAGGTAAAGGATCAATATGACTGAATGAATGATTAAACAAACATAAAATCTGTGTCTGGATGACACCATTTGCTGAGTCCAAGATCAAGCTGACTGGACGTATACAGTAGAAACATTTATTAAATTATTGAAGGAATTTTGAATAAAACCATGTACCAGGGCTGCAAACATCTACTGTTGTTTGATCTATAAGTATCTGAAGTTATAAAACTGTACCAGGAGAAAATAGTTCCTGGAATTTCAGCGTAGACCCCAAGAGACTAATCTATTCTGTTTATGGCCCAGTTCAGATGTAGTCGGGGGGCAGCAGGTAAAGAGGAACTTTCCAGAGGGCAAAGCCAGGGTCCACAGCAAACAACATGCAAAGAGTTCTCAAGTGTGTAAGCCCCTGTCACTTTCAGGATGGGAGACCCTAAGAACGTCCTCCACAGCTCGGGCAGCAAATCTTTACAAAGCTTACTCATTTGTGTAGCCCTGTGACTATGGTATATTTCCTTTCCTTTCCTCTTCCAAAGACAGCTTCCATTATACTTAGCTCATGTAGAACACATACCTCCAGGGACCAGGGATGGGAAGATAGATAACTTATCTTTTGTCTACAGGTTATCAGAAAAGAGAGATGCCAATATGATAGCATTGGAGGCTGATGTTTTAGCTGCATGAAATACCTGCGTCTTGGATGCCTCCTCCTTTAGCAGGAGGTTGCTCTCTCTGTGTGAGGTCAGGAATAAAAATGTGCATAACCTAAAAGGTGGACCATTGAAAACTGTGAGCGGCCTCCGCAAGTGTCATTCTCTGCTTCTGTATCAAGGCAACACAGCTAAAGAGAATATTTCTGCACTCACTTTCCCAGCTCGTAATCTGCTCAGGTAATGAACTGGCTAATAGTAAATAGAAACAGTATATGCCAGCCTCGAGTGCAAGAGAAGTGGGTCCTTGTTCTTTCCCATCATCCCCTCCTGGTGGCCTGCATAGATGTAGTGATAGGACCTGGAATAGCAGAGTAGATAGTGTGTACTGTAATAAGCCCTTTAACACACATTGTCTCTGTAAAGAAAGTATTATCATTTTATCCCTGAGAGAATGGAAACCCAGGGAAAAAATCAGCCTCTCCAGTGATACACTCGCCATAGGAACACTGGGCAAAAATAATTGGGTACAACTTCATTTTTAGAGGGCATTAAAAATAGTTTTGAATTCTGGAGGTTGATGACTTAATAGAACCAAAAATTCTTTAAAATCTGTTTTTAGTCTTAGAGTCTGAAATGCAAAAGTTACTATTTATTCATTCATTCATTTAGTCTATGATCATTCTTTGTAATATTGAGTAGTTATCTGAAAGGTGGCAAGTTTTAATGTTTGATAAGTCTCAGGTCAGGGAGCGTCAAGTCATATTTTTCTCCATTTGTAAGTTGGCCCATAGAACTAGTCATAAATAAAGACTATCTAGGGATTAAGTATATATAATGCATTTGCTCTATGGGATTAAGTGACAGTATTTCTTACAAGCTCTTGGCAATAAATGTGAAGGAAATGTAATTTTTATCTTGTTTTTTTTCAAATTTTGACTGTCTTTTTTCCTGGTTACCATATTAAATTCTGGCAATGGATCAATACCTCCTAATGTTCTTACCCTTTATTACTATACTGTCAGGAAATTCTCATGAGGACTTACTGAATGAATCAAAACACAATCCCATATTTCCCACTTCTTTTTTATCTCTGAAGGACTGATGTTTTATTAATATCATGATTTGATCATTACACTAAGCGTTTCAAAGATTTTTATGTAAACGTCAGACGCATTTATAGACCCGGGCTTTTTATTTCAATTCTTTGTCACATATGGTAAAAATGGACTGAGACACACTTTGAGGAGTCCCTCTTAGTGCCTACTCATCAATGGATGCGTTACACTTTTCTTGGCCTCTTATTCTCTTCATTTTCAGTGTTAGGTACTGAGTTAGCATCTCCCCTTGCAAGATGACTTACTATGTCTCACTAAGACATTCATACATCTACTGACAAGGTAAAATTCTCATGTTGTGTTACCCCATTTGAATGATTCAAGAAAAAAGTCTACCTTCGTCTTCATCTTCCATTTGGGCTTTGGCCTCTCTGGAATACATGGCTCTTCGGAGAGTTTTCCTTTCTAAGGTTGTTTGGTCAGCTTCCATATCCTACAGTGAACACCATGCTATCATTCACAGAGCTCCAGTCAGAAGAAAGGGTTGACTTACCCTTACCCACCCACACTATTGGTTTTATACCAATCTCAAAGGCTCTCTTCTCACTCTGCAGACCTAGCAATCCTATCACAAAAGCAGTCATGGAAATGTCTTATGTTTGTAGGAAATGTTTGTGTTCAAAGGTATAGGGCAGTGAGAAGCCAAGAAAATCAGTGACAATGTGATGGAACCCATCCTTACCCTGAAGCATCCTTCCACCACAGATTCTCATTTTATTTTTACATCAATTTCAAGCCTTGTGATTTTTCCAAGGATTCCTTTATCTTAAGTATCTTCCTTTAGAGATACATTTTTTGTATGTACAAGTTTTGGGGTTAGTAAAAACTAATGGCTGTCCACTATTATGATGAATTATTAGATAGAATAAATTTCTTTTGCATCTCACTGAGGGAGCTGTACAGAAGGACTTTGACAGAATAAGAATGAAGGCAGGTAATTCTGAAACAAAGAGCCAGTGAAAGTCCTTAGGTACCTAGAGTTTTGGGATAAAGCCTAGGAGGAAGAAATGTGTAGAAAGAGAACAGAAAGGTGCCAAAACAAATCACAGTTTTGAAAGTTGGTTCAGGCTTGTTTTGTGTTCAAAAAAGGAAGAGTTTTATTTTCTCCCTACCCTGGCCTCCAACACCTCAGTTCTCTCCCCCAGCTCTTAGGACTGGGTTAGTAGCAACAGCTCAGTTAGATGGTGGGTTAAATCAGGTTCTTCGTGCTCATCTTGCAAACGAATCAATCTAGTTCTGTGAGGGAAATGCACATTGAGCTCCAAAAACTCACTCACAAACTTTGGGCATCTGTGGTATATTGGCTCTCTGTATAGGCCAATATAACAAAAAACAAAGACAACAAGAACATAGTTTGTTATCCCCAAGAAACCAATACACTGTTGGTTATCAGACATTTCCCGTATTTATATAGCATGTGATTTAAAGGACTCACTATTCTACGAGGCTCTGTTACTTCCAGATTCTTGGTTAAAAGACTAAAAACCAAAATGTCACTCCTGAGTAGCATTTGTATAATACATTTTCATGTTAGTATCTGATTTTGCCTCCTGATATGAAAACATTTGTCAAAAAGGCTACAAAATACAAAACACAAAGCCATGCTCATCACTTGTGTACACGTAATCGGGTAAAATAAACCAGAACCAAGTAGATTTGCTTCTGGTTTAACTCCTCATCATAGCTAACCATAAGATTTATTTTGGAGACTTAAAGTACCACAAAAAAAGTTAAAGCAAATTTTCTTAGGAACACAATGCTCCTATGAAGTCCATTACAGGTTAAACATTTTGAAATGTGTTGATGTTTAGGTTAAGTTAATACAAATTTAGTTTCATTTTCTAATAAATATTTACTGCGTCAAGCTAAGGTTAGGCCACAGGTAGAGGAGTGGGGAGCATCAAATGATATTAGTTGTATTTTGCTTAATAACGTTATGAAGATCAAGGTTGATATTACCCATTTTACAGCTCTTAGTAATAGTTAAAATTAGCTAACCTCATTATCTCCTTCTTTCTGGTTCTCATTACTAGCTTTTAAACAAATTCAGTCTTATCCTATTACCCCTTGTGATGGTATATATCAGTGGCCCCCAGGCCTCATGTGTTTGCATTGTGCATTTGTGATTGGTTCATTGTCTAGCGCTTGGATTGATGGTGTCAGTGCTACACCTGCCTGGGGGTGGAGACCGGATGTGATGTGATGGCAGGAAGAAGGTGTGTCTCTTTCTCTTGCTGGTTTCTGCCTTGCTGTTTGCAGCCGCCATGAACTGTGGCCCTGCCATGCCACCCTGCCTTGGAGCCAACTGAATACAGACTGAAATCTCCAAAAACTGTAAGAAATAAACCTTTCCTTTCTCAATTTGGTGCATCGGGTATTCTGCCTCAGTGACCAGTAAAAAATAACTAAGACACCCCTTAACCCTTAAACTGAAAGTTCTTCCTCAAGCCCTGTGGCAGAAGGTTCCATGTGACCTTTCGTTTCCTTTCTCTCTCTTTTGCTTCATTTATTCTGCATGCAGGTCAAGCTTTCTCAGCTCTGGCACCGCTGTCATTTGGGCTGCATGAATCTCTGTAGTTGTGGCCGCTCCTGTCTCCTGCAGGATGCTAAGCAGTAACCCTGTCTCCTACCTGCTGGGTCTTAGTACCATCTTCCTGCCCCAGTTTCAACAGCCAAAAATGTTTTTCAGATGTTGCCAAGTGTCTCCCAGGTGGCAAAGTGACACTGGCTTATAGGTAAACACACTGTCCTTGCATCTGACAAATTAAACAAAGTTGTTTCTGCAAAAATTATTCCAATGTCTTTCAGTGGTGTTCATCTCCATGTTGGGATTGATGACTCTTGATGATTTTCTGTCTTCCATAAAGGGGCAAAACTCCCCCCATCTCCTGATGGGCACCCTAGACAGACTCCTGGCTTCTCCTGGCCACCATTCCACCTTATAAAAATGGATTTACCCTACCAGACCCTAAATTGTTTCTTTTCTCCTTCAGTTGATTTGCACCCCAGTTATCTGTCTTTAATTATAGAGCTCTGCTATCTCAAGTGATCATTTTATTTCTAAATGCAGCATTGTGAACTTGCTTCTTGGCCCGCTTAACGATATTACTATAATATCAAGCCAACAGCTCTTATTTTTTTCCTGATCTTCTTACCAAAGATTTTTACCATAAATTGTCCCAGTCCTTAAGCTTACATCATATTCTTTTGTCCCTGGCAATTAGATCACTGAAAAACATGACATTTGGAGCCCTCCCCAGTACATTTATAATTATGTTTCTCATAGCACAGTTCCTAAGCAGGCACTTGTGGGTTGTATCTTGTAATTTTTTTTAATATTCTAACTTTAGTAATTCAATGATTTGTTCTAGTCTATGCCTGTATTCCTACATGCATCTTTGCTTTATGTCATTTGTTTTGAGATCATCAGTAAACTCACAGGAGAAAGGAAAATACCAGGGTTTTTCTTTTTTATCTTCTTCTATAGAAAAATAGGTTCGTTCCTTCTAAAATAGTGCATTTTAATCTCCCAATATTTTAGGGGCTGGGGATTTAGCTCAGCAGCATAAGCACCTGCCTTGCAAGCAGGCAGTTTTGAGTTCGATCCCCGGTACTGATAAAAAGGAAAAAGACAAAAAAAAAAAAAAATCTTCCGATATTTTGGAGAAACTTATTGATACAAATATTTCACTTATTAAATTATCAGTTCTATCTAGGGATACCAAATTCTGGACATGTCCTAATCCAAACTCAAAAGCAAACCATTTCAAAAATTTGAAAATTTAATTTACAATTTTACCCTCAATTACAAGTTGTACTCAACCTGCTTTCCACCTCTGTGATCACATGATTTAATGCTGTAGCACTAAAATACAGTTACATTAGATATGAACCTGTTTAAATTCTATTGATACTACTCATTACATATTACACTTACTGTACAACCTTAGCCAGGTTACCTAAATTCTCTGAGCCCTACTTTTCTCAACTATAAAAGTGAAATAATATTTTCTGCGCTTATTTCACATGGATTTGTAAGATTGTACGAAAAAGTCTTATGGGTTCTAAAAACCAATATAAATGTAAAAATCTATTTTTTTCTTCTGACCACCTTCCATCTCCCGCTCCCTAGCTCTGTTCACCAATAGTTCATAGCTTTTGCTTCCTTCACAGCTACTTGGCTTTTATCTTGGCTATAACCTTAGTTGGTAGGCAGTGAGTGAAAATGTTTTCATGTTACAGATGAAAAAAAAAAGAAGATATAAATGAAGAAAAATAAGACAAAATGAGGAAATGCCCCTGCTTCAGCAAACAATGTGTCTAAGTTTTCCATACATATATAGTTGCAGTATGATATGAATTTAAATGAAAATCTCCCAAAAATCTCTTAGCACTGTACCTCAAAATAGTATTAGAATTTTATAGGTTCAAAGTACAGTGGTTTGTCTAGTAATGATATGCAAAAATTACAATTATCTTGGGTTTGAGGTGAGATACATTATAATATCAAGTATTAAATGTGATACTTCTTCAAAAGCATTCTTAGGAATTACACAGTACACATCTGCCTTGTTTGAGTTGATTATTCACCTTTTCCAATTCTTGATCTTGCCGATTCATAAGTGTTTTCCAGTGTTCATACAGCTCAACATCTTTGGTTTGAATATCTTTCAAAGTCCCTTCTCTTAAGACACTTCCATCTTTCATGGCTATGATCTAAGGAAAGCACATATTAACAGATATGTGACAAAAGTCTTAGGCAACCAAATGAATTACCTTTCTTTACAGAAAGCATCTCCTACTATTACATGACTGTCATAAGAATATAGCAATACTCTCACCCAGTCAGCATGTGTCAGATACTGTAACTTGTGAGTCACAAGAACAAGCGTCCTTTTGTCATCTTGGAGAAATTTCAAAATCCCTTCCTGCATTAGATGATCACTCAAGTGAATGTCCAGGGCAGAGAATGGGTCATCCTGCAACCAAATAAAGTGGTGGGAAGATGAACATTTTCCATACTGTTTATATACTCAATGCCTCTAGAGAATAGAAATAAAAATAACAAAGGATAAATGATCCCCCAAATCCAATTTATGAGAAACAGACTCTGTGTGCATTTCAATAGTCATAAAAAGTAGCTTAAAATAAAGCTTTTATGTGTTTTCCACCATAAAGACTACTTAATAAGTAACAATAAGTGGCATGAATTCTTACAGATTCTTAAAGTTCAAAAATCACCATTACTCAGCAGCCGAAGGTGAAAATATAGTTATACTGGCTTAGTTCTAGATAATTAAAAAGAACATAGAAAATGCTAATTGTATCACAGCAGGATTTACTTCATGGGAATGTTCTTTTGATTAAATGAGGTAATATACATTAAATGATTTGCATAGTGCCATATACACAGTAGATGCTAGATAAATATTACTGCTATTATTTGGTATAATATAACATACTTAACACTGAACTCATGTTAGCTGCCTTGGGAATAAAATGTTCATGCACTAAGCAATTAAGACATATAGATAATTATTCAGAAAATTATATTAATTGATTTACTGATAGTGATACTGATGGTTTATTTTCATATATTTTTTTATTCCTATAATGTTAAGTATAGCATTACAGTGCATGGTTTTATATTTTAAAAGAAACAAACTATGAACTTCTGAGGAGAGCTAGCAAGTGTCCTTGAACAGTGGCTTACAAAGCAAAAAGACCTGTAGGTTCAACATTGTATTAGACACACCAGAAACCCTGGCAATGACAGGCAATAAAGGCAACTGAGGCATTAACTGAAGGAACAAAGTCATAAAAATTATAGAGTTTTCTGGTAAAGAATTGGGAATCTTTACTAGAATCTTGTCTTCTTCTTCACATTTATGTCTCAGCAGTATGCAAACATATTTCTACCTTGTCATGTAGGCTAAAGAAAGAAACAGCTAGATTGTCATTCTGCTACTGAGCTATTCAGAAATTCTAATTCTAGGAAATTTTTGAAACAATTTATCCCAATCATATCCTCTACACAGATAAATTGCATTGCTCATTATCTGAGTGATGAAACATAAAAGCAGTTTCTAATGAGTTGGAAATTGATGATTGAGGGTTAGAATACAATTATGTATGTGATCACTGTAGACATAATTAGCTCAATAGTTTTCCAAGTCTCCATCAATTGCTGTCTACACCAACAGAAACTGTAAGTAATATGACTTTATTGAAGTACTTAGGGGATGTCTTAAAAGAGAAATACTAATAAAGTACTGAGTTTAAAGATGATTCAAAATTAAAACAACCTTTTACAAATCCATCTACTGGCTATCATAGCTATGAATAAGTGGGAGATATAACTGATGTGCTCAAATGGCTTTTATAAAAATACTTGTAACAACAGTCACTCCAGTTATCTAATTTATTTAAACTGTTTAAACAATAAGATGCCCTAAATAGTATAATCATTGAATAAATTATTGTAATAAGCACATCCACTGTACATTTATATAAATATATACATTTATATTGTTATGGTTTGTGTCCGGATGGCCCCCTAAAGCCTCATGCAATCATAGGTGGGGTTTTTTCAGAGGTGACTGGATCTAGAGTGTGTAATGTTATACTTGATTCATAGTACAAGGTTAGAATCAAGGGCACTAGAATTAATGGTATAAGTGCTACCTGCCCCAAGCTCCCTGGGTAAGATATAAGGACTAGAAAGAGCTTTAGCCAACCCTGTTTATCTTTTGCTACCTTCTGCTTGCCATGAACTGTTTCTCCTTGGCCACACCTTACCTTAGAGCCAGTCAATTACAGACTGAAACCTCTACAAACTGTGAGTTAAATAAACCTTGCCTTCTTTAACATTGGGTGTTGGGTATTGTATCTCAGCAATGAGAGAAAAGTAACTAAGACAATACTCTGTGTATGACATTGAAAAATTGGTTTAGGGACACAATTATCTTGGTTGTCCCAACATGCTTTTAAATGACATGGAAAATATTTAAAAAATCATTTAGATCCTTTGGATCATTTCACATTTCTTATTCCCAAAATGTTCCAAGAAGGTGTATGCATGGAAGATTAAACCTATTTGCTATTATCCACTGAACTGCTTTTTAAAATAATCACAGACATCAGTTCCTTGTTTGTTATGTCCTTTTGATAGCAAGAAAAATGTTAATATGAATTTCCTTATTTAAATTCTGTTATGTATGGAATAAGAAATTCTACCTGATAATATAGGAAATTCCCTTAACACATTTGTTTTGATGTAACTTTTGAATTATCCAAAAATGTGAGTCCGGGTAAAGATGGCAGATAGATAAGAACAGATTACAGAGGCTCCCTGAGACAGTCAATTTAGATGCCAAAATAACATAGTGTGGGGAGTCCTGGACAGTGGGAGAAGAATCCTCTCGACCCAAGAAGAAACTAAAGTAAAAAGAACCAGTCAAACATGCAGTCCTGGTGCTACTATTGGAACAGCTAAGATTTTATACTCCTGCTGCAGTGCCCAAACTTGCACAGCTACGACTCATCGAGCCACCTGAATTCCCACCACTTTGATTCACTGGAACCGCAGTCACACTGAAGTACAGTCGCACTGAAGTCAGAGGTTGGCAAGCCCAAAGGAGAAAAGAGCTGGCAAGGGACCTGCATCAACCTGTGGTGCGTGCTGGGAATAAAACCCTTCCACGGAGAAGGGGCACCAATGGGACAACATTTTGGAATTGGGCAGGACTGGCAAGAACAAGGAACAGCAGTGACTTCAGTAAGTTGTTCCCTTCCCAGACGAGATTAGTGGGGTATGCTCGCCCTGGGTCACGCCCCTAGCTGAGGCCCAATAAGTTGTCCCAAACCAGTTCACTATGGATGGTGCACACTAACACAGTGAAGGTCTCAGCAGATTGACTGACCCAGAGGAAAGGGGCCAGCATACGCCACCAGTGATTGCACCTCAATAGCACACAAGAGTGGGCAGGATCACCTAGGCAGCACGCTTCAGAAGAACCATAGCCAACAAAGAAAGGGACTGAGGCCTTCTCTATATTCCTGTAAGGAAGAAACAAAAAATATGAGAAGAGGAAGCAATAAGAAAAAGCCCCCAACCCTGAGAAGATTGATCCAGGAAAGATAAATACAAAAGAGATTGAGGACAGCAAACATGTATATCAGGCACAGCATCAGTGGACATAAAGAGATATCTTCGGGACCTCATAGATGAGTTCAAAAGTGAAATATTTAACCAACTAAAGCAAGACATAAGTAGATTAATAAAAGAAATGCTAAGCACATCTCAAGAAGATAGATGGAATAATGGAAGAGCACAAAAAAGGAAAGAATTGTTTGATGAAGAATATAAAGAAAACATACAACACATGAAGCAGGTTCAAAGAGATTACCAGGAAATAAAAAACTCCATTGGAAGCTGGCAAAACTGCTTGAAAGAAACTAAGGACAGATTATCCAAACTGGAGAACAGGTTTGCAATGTGGGATTATGAAAGAAAACACTTTTTAAAAATAACAAGGAAACAAGTAGTAACAATACAAAGGCTAGAAGAAGACAAGAGGATCTATAACTTAAGAATAAAGAATGTGAATGAAAAAGCAGGGGTACAAACAAAGGAACTACAAAGGATATTCACAGAAATAATTAAGGAAAACTTCCCAAATATAGGAAAAGGGAATGATATCCAGATGTATGAGGCATACAGAACTCTAGCCACCTGCAACCAAAACAGAGCCACACCCAGGGATATAATAATCGAGATCCCAGAAATTCAATATAAGAACAGAATATTAAAAGCCATCAGAGACAAGAAACAGGTTACCTATAAAGGAAAACCCATCAAAATCACGGCAGACTTCTCGACACAGACCATCAAATCAAGAAGAGCTTGGAGCAAACAGTTCAAGCCCTGAAAAAAAAAAAAATAACCTCCAGCCCAGATTGATGTACCCTGAAAAACTGTCTCTAGAAATTAAGGAGAAACAAGATGCTCCCAAGACAAAGAGGAACTGGGGGAATTCACAACCACCAATCCAACTCTACAGAGAATACTTCAGGACATTCTAGAGAGAGAGAAAAGTACCAGGATTTCGGGAACAGTGGCAGAGAGGCCTCAATGAGTGAAGCAGAAAGCAGAATGAAGAAGAAAAGCAGACAACTAATGGCAGAAAAAGAGCACAACAGAAATGAAGCAGAGAAGGTTAGCTATAATCTCTAATATAGATGCCTTCATACACTAAAAAAAAGAAAGAAAAAGAAGAAGAGAGAAAGAAACACAGGCAGAGTAGATCAGGAGGTAGGGTCCACCGAGATGCTCTTTATAGAAAATATAATTAAGCTGAAAAAGGGTATATGGACCAGAAATCAAATATGAGAAAACAATGCTCTATGTGACAGGGAACCAGACAGAAATAGGGGCAACTGGACCAGTATTTGTGGATAGATTGGAAAGACAGGCATTAATAGGTAAAGGAATACAACTAGAGATCAAGTCCAGGAGAGAGAAGGTTTGGAACCACTTAGGTAAATAGCAGGCTGTCCCCCAATCTAAAAACTGAGGGTGTTGGTGAGACCCAAAAATGCAAAGTGAACCCTGGGGAAGTGAAAGGGGAGGAATAGTCTTAAAAAAGACAGCAGAAGATATTGTTAATAGTAAGTATATCAGGATTTAAAACCCATATTACTCGCACCACTCTGCTTAGATAGATTTTATTCTGTCCCAGTTTGTCTACTTATACTAGATCTGAGGACACAGAGAGCTATCCCAAAAATATCAGGATATAGTACAGTAAACATCTTTAATTTTCTATTAACTTAATCTGGAGCCCTGTATACCTTATACTATTTCATCATGACTGATCTTAGTTAAATCTAGTTTGTAGATTGCTGTTTAGTATCAATAGTTTTTATTCAAAACTGTTATGACTGATAATATCAAATCTGAGAGTATAGACAACTACAC